CAAAAAGTTTGTAACCTTTTGTCTCATCACTCACACCTAAGAGAACACATTGTTGACTCTTGTCATCCAATTTCCTTCGTCACTGATCTGGAATATGAACATGTGCAATGCATCCAAATATGCGAAAATAATCTACACAAGGTTTGATTCCACTCCATACCTCTTCAGGTGTCTTGTATTCAACTGCAGTTGTGGGACTCCTATTCTGAATATGAACACACCATTTTACTGCTTTAGGCCAGAAGGTTTTAGGAACCTGTTTTTCATGAAGTATAGCTCTTACTGCATTCATAATGGTGCGGTTCTTGCGCTCTGCAACCCCATTTTGTTGAGGGGTATAAGCTGCCGTGAGTTGTCCGGAAATGCCTTGTTGGTCACAAAATTCTGAGAATGCTTTAGATGTGAACTCCCCTCCTCGATCAGTCCTTAGACAGACAATGTAAGTTCCAGTTTCTTTTTCGACACTGGCTTTGAAACTTTTAAATGCATTAAAAGTCTCGGATTTTTCATGCAAAAAATAAATCCATGTTTTTCGTGAATAATCATCAACAAAACTTAGTATGTACCTTTTGCAGCTATTTGAGGTTGGTGAAATGGGACCACATATATCAGCATGAACCAATTGAAGTTTCATTGATGCACGCCAGGAGCTTTGTTTTGGTATGGTGTTTCGATGTTGCTTGCCTATGAGACAAGTAGTGCATACAGTTGTGGACAATTTTAGTGAGGGTAGCCCGATCACCATTTGTCTTTGAGCAAGTGTGTGGAGTCCCTTGAAATTAAGATGCCCGAACCGTCTGTGCCATAATTGTGTTTCTTTCTCAGAACAATCTTCAACTTGAAAGCATTTGGGCTGCTGAGGACACATCGAAGCTGATAAATAAAACATACGATTTCCTCTCATGGTGCTATGGATAATCAACCCTCTCTCTGGATGAAAGATTTTGCATGATCCATGTTGAATTAGAATCGTAAGGCCTTTCTCTTGTAATTGTCCAAGACTCAGAAGATTGGTTTTAAGTTGCGGAACATAGTAGACGTTTGAGATGACATGAGTAGTGCCGTTTAGCTGGACCCGAATGCTCCCTTTAGCGGTCACCTCCAATGTAGTATCATTACCAAGCTTGACACTTTTGTGTAGTCCTTCCTCATGTATTTCAGTAAACCAAAGTTTATTACCGGTCATATGGTTGCTACAACCTGAGTCGAGAAACCAATCTTCCATTTGTACCGAGTGTTTCACCTTTTCATATGCAACCAACAAGATTTCGTCCTCAGTTGTTGTTGCTTCTTCAGATGTCACGTAATGAGCTTGCCTCATTACTCTAGGGCACTCGTATTGGAAATGGCCCAGTTTGTGACACTGAAAACACTCAATAAGGGATTTATTAAAAGGTTGTCGTCCACGTCCTCTCCCTCGTCCTCGACCTCCTCTGCCACGTCCACGACTTGCCCGATCATCTTGCGTGACTTGCAGTACCTGTTCTTCTGGTGGTTGAAAATCTTGCATTCGTTGTTCATGCACGAGCAGACTCCCATGGAGTTCATCAAGACTCAAAGTGCTTAAGTCATTGGCTTCCTCGATAGAACACATCACATAATTGAATTTTGAGGTTAAAGACCTGAGAATCTTGCTAACCACTGTGCTGGAGTCCATTGATTCGCCGTTGGATTTCATTCTGTTTACAACACTCAGCATGCGTCCAAGGTAGCTGTCGACTTTCTCTCCGTCCTTCATTGTTAGGAGCTCAAACTCACGTCGGAGAGCCTGGAGCTGAGCACGTTTAACCCTTGTTGAGCCTTTATACTTTTGTTGCATAGAGTTCCAAATTGCCTGTGACGAACCTTTGTCCAGAATTGTTTCCAGAATCTCTCGATCAATTGACTGAAATAGAAAATTCTTCACTTTTAGATCTTTAAGATGCGCATCTGCTGTAGCTTTCCTTTGAGCCTCTGTTGGTGCCGCATTCAATGCTGGAATTCCATCTTCTACAAGTGACCATAGTTCTTTGCTACGTAAGAAATTTTCCATGGCCATGGACCAGAAGTCGTAGTGCCCATCGAACCGTGGAATAGCTGGTTGAACGAATTTTTCTGAGATAGACATGACTCTTCACATTATTTTCTCACTTTATATCACACTCTTTTTCTCACTCTCTCTTCACACTGTTTTGTCACTCTATATCACTCTTTTCCTTACTCCGTATCAGGCCCGTTTATGGAGCTCTGATACCAATTGTTAAAACTCAAACAAAATTGACTGATGTAATTCAAAAATGTGTACTGCATATTTTATTCAGATACTGGAGATGACTTTATAAACCTTTACAAATAAACTAATTAACAACCTACGTGAATAGTGGACGAAAAACTAGCACCCCTGCATTCACTCTTCCTATAAATCGGGGTAGTTATTTAATAAATATCAACACGTAAAAATAGTCATCAATTTGTGTTTTTTTTTTAATATCTAAATGAAAAATGGATTATATACAAATAGTTATATATCATGTCTACGAAGAATTAATCAAGACAAAAAATGGTAAGAACTTTTGTGGATAAGAAGGAAACAACTCTCTGTTTAAAGCATTCTCTTTTTGCCTTGTATGATAGGCATTTTACATATTTTTTTTATATTTAAAAATATTAAAATTATTTATTCATGAATAATGCCTAAAAGCACCATAGAATTATCCATCACCTCAGACGATGAAGCACTCCATAAATGCAGCTGACTTAGTAGTTCCTACATCCAAAAGGAGTCTCTCACAGATTCAAAATCACAAATGTTGTCGTAAGCCACACAACTATGATCCATAAAAATACACCCTCTTTTAATATATTTTATATGTTTTTCTTTTTCTTTAAAAAATAATTCTTTAACCAGTACTCTTAGGCCACTGGTTAACATTCAGATTTTAATCTGCAAGATCGAATTCTTCTTTCTTTCACAAATTTTAATAAAAAATAAATCTTTTTAATTGCTTAATTGTCTTTAATTAAGACTGATAGTTTATTAACATTTGTCAAATAAAAAAATATAATATTGATTTTATTAGGATCAACAAAGTTTATTGTATATTTTTATTCTGTCAAAAATAGTTTTCTTTACTTAAAAGCTCTCATTACTTTTCCACTACACACACACACACACACACACACACATATATATATATATATATATATATATATATATATATATATATATATATATATATATATTTTAACTAAAATTACTCGCCGTTATCTCTTGTTCCAAAATGTAACATAGAAAGTGGATTAATAAATTAGGGTTATTTAATGTGGAATGTGTAAAGATGAACTATTTTTATTATAACTTCACGATCTTGAATTTATGGAGCAAGAAACGTAGATGAGCATGATGCTAACGCCCAATATGCATTTAATGTGAATGGAAATGTACTATAACCGATGAAAGCTAATTAATGCAATTGCTATATTTCACATATCCATTTGCTGTCATTAATTATACTCTTTTCTTCATTTTGGGTGAAGTGATAATCTTAGTACTATTACAATTTTCTTATCTTATTTTACACGAAAGGACCACCTTAATTCTCAACATTTTCCAGTTAAGAACTTTTAGGATCTTAAGTTCTCACCTTCTTTGCTAGTATTCATATCGAAATCATCAATTTTAATGCCTTCTTCGTATATATCTGTTCATGTTTTGAGTACAGTACAAATATTTACTAAATGTAAAATATTATTGTATTAAACTGAAATATATCCTTATCTATATATTAAACTAAACTATCTTTATTTCGTGTATTATATTAAACTAATAACAACTTCGAAACTTATAGAAATCAATCAAATATGGACTTAGTAGTTGAGAATTTTTTTATTAGATTTTGAATTTCTAAATACAAAAGAAAGAATGTTCAAATAGCAGTAGTTATAGAAAGGAAGTATATTTTTATGTGATATGTTTTTACAATATTTTTTTATAGGAAAAGAAATATAAGAGGAGAAAAGGTTTGGGGGTTGCATTGAGATTATTTAATATGGATTAATATGTATAAAGAGAGAGAGAAAAAAAAAAGGGTGTGTATCTGTATGGTTTAATATGGATTAATTTAATTTTAAAATTTTGTAAACTTAATCACTTCAAACTTTAAAAAACATGATAAGCTCTTTTAAAACTTAATCTATATAAGTAATAAACAAATATATTTAGAGCAATTTTGTGAAAAAATATCATAACTCTTTAGATAACATATACTCGGAGATTTCACGAGCATGTATGTCCAGATTTTTTTTTTTTTTTTCATGACATTCAATTAACTTCTACTCTTTCAATTCAATGGACACAGGAACAAGAAGAATAAGAATTCATCTTAATCAATAACCACCCTTCTATAAGGCCAAAACAGAAAGAAAAAGAAATATAAGAAACCCTTCAGATTCAATATCCAATTTGTCCAATCACATGAACTGTCACGACGACGTACATGGAGAGTGAAATTTATGCAGGGGAAATAGTTACATGATTTAGCATATTAATACGAACATAGTTTCCCATGCAACATGTCGAAAACTCTGTTCTCGTTACTTGAAAGGAAAATGACAATACATAGGAACATTTTTGTTACAACTTGAAGAACCATGCTGACCTTTCAGAGAAAATGGTCTTCCTTAATTTCGAATCCTAAAGAAACTACCTAAATTCTACTATTATATATATTACGCCTTTTACATAAATTTTGGATGATCGAGGACACTCTTGTATGTACATAGATATGATTATGATACACTTGGTTAGTTCTTATCAATCACCCATTTACTCATCCCAACTGTTAAACCGCCACTACGTAGAGGTAGGTAGGTTAAATACCACCCTTGTTTTTAACACACAGACAAAATATAAAGAAACCTGGACCATATATTCAAGGGGTAATTAAAAGATAATAAAACTTGGCCCATGCTTTCTACATACCGCTGAGAATTTTAAACCGTTTTTGTACGTTCTTAATTAATTAGCATAAGAGAGGCTCCACCTTCTTCCTCTTCAAGAATTTGGAAGGGTTCTGATCTGGTGGGTGCATGAATTTGCAGTTTGGACAAGTAGGGGATGACTTGCACAGCATTACCAACATGTGACACCTCATACAAACTGTTGCAATCATCTCCTTGTGATCTCCCTCTGATGATAGCCACGATGGAGGTTGAGTTAAAGCACATGAATCATCCATTTTACACTTGCTTGATTCAATCGATAGATCATGGTCACCAAAAGTGCTCCTAGTGGAACCACAGTTCTTCTCATTTATATCATAACTTTCTTCCTTTTTCTTCAGTGACAGCTCAAGGTCTAGGCTCATTTGACCATGTGATGGTGCTTTAGGATCAGAGTTTCTCTCCGAATCAGGTGTTTTCATCATACTCATCCCTGCGTTGCACAATTGTATCTGCCCTGACTGCATGAAAATAATTAAACTTTAGATTACTCATTAGAACCAAAATAAGTAGACATAGCTAAATAGCTTGTAGAAACATTAAATTTTATATGATTGATAAATCATATCCTTAAACGTATATTTAAGAGCTTGATCCACATCTAAGTGTATGGATAAACATATAAGCAGCAGAAATTAATCTTCAGAAGAAACAGCCCATTTGAAAGCTTTGTATATAAAGTTTGACATATAATATTAATATCATGTATTATACCTGAATGGTGAGGTACTGTGGCAATTTATTTGAAGGTAATGGTGTCTGGAGGTGAAGCTCTATACCAAAGATGGATTTTCGTTTCTCTGCATCAGTTGGATCAGTCTTGAAGAATTCTTCAGTGAGTGTCTCCTCTTGCCACTTTCTCTTCCTTGGTGGAGCGTCAAATTCTGCAGGAACTTGTGTTATGGGGGTCTCGGGCAGCGCTTTGTGAAAGGAGACCATAGTAGCTTGAATACTGAAGAGTGAGCGAAATGTGTAGTGAGTTTGAGGTGGTTATATAGTAGGTGGCAGAACTTAAAGGTAGAAGTGTCAAAATTGGTGGTCATTACCTATGTACGTGTGAACTGTGACATGCTTTCCAAGTTGGCTAACCTTTCATAGTACACAATTTCATAACTTAAAGTAACTAGTTATTTATTATAGATCAAAACGCTACGAGTTGGGTTTTACTAGTATACCTCATTCTTGCGTAGCAAAAATGGGTTCATGCAGTTTCCTGCTTCCAAAGTACTCTTGTGAAGAGTTGGGTTGAAGATCATATAATAAATGAATCATGATTTCACCTTTCAAGGACCTTCACACGTAACTCCATGCCTACTACACTTGAAAAAAGTTAATTTTATTAGATTATCACATCTCAAGTTTTATTTAACCAAGGCTCACTAAGTCAAAGGGAAAATATATATACATATATATTCTTAATATTGGGAGTGAAGCGGTGCATGGGTTTGATAAGACCATATGACTATTTTTAGTACATGTAGCAGCAAGAAAATAAAAGCAGAAGAGAATAGTAATTAATCTGATAGAAAATTAAATTAAATTAAATTAAAGTTGGTCGTAGATGACAAGACTGGCTATAAATTAATTTGGTACTTATGATTATGAAAGTCGGTGGGAAAGGGAGGAGGAGATGTAATGGCAGCCTCATTAATGTTGGGAGTCTATACAGTTGAAGGGAAGGTCTCTCGTCACAATGCTTCTTTAATGTCGATAATAACTCCAACCTCCCCAATTAGTTCATTATAACAAAACAAAAACTAAAACCCCAACATAGAAAACTAAATTAGATTATTAGCATGATAAAACTCTTGACATTTTCCAATAACAAATTTTTGTTATTTACACCCATACAACAAATTACTCTCACGCACGGTGTAAAATATAGGACTATTCCTGACATGTTGAATCAGTTAAACTGGAAAATGGACTTCGAATTGGTATATTACTTTTAAATAATTAAATTTTAAATAATTAGATTTTAATTGAATTGAATAAAAACGAATAAATTTGGTAAAACTGAAAAAAATTAATTAAATTCTTTATTCAAATGGAGTTTGATAAGAGGAAAATATTTATATCACACTTTTTTAATATAATTTTTTTATAAAAAAAATATAATTTTTTAAATTTTTTATTTATCTCATATTAATTATATCAATTTTAAATAATAATTATTTTATTTTAACAATTTTTTATTTTAACAATTATTTATTTTATATTTTTTAATATATTTTATATTTATAATTTTTATTATTATTTTTTATAAAAAATATTATTGCTAATAAATTTATTATATTATAAAAAATTATTTTATTAAATTCGATTGAATCTCAATTAAATCTTATAATCTGAATCCATGGTTTGATTTTAAAAACATTAATCCTTTATTTTGTTGAATTTTTATTGTTTTCAAAATTTATGATAATATTATTTTTAGTCTCTTACTTTTCATCTAATTTCCAATTAATTTGCATATTTATCATAAAAACAATGATTAATGTGCATTTAGTGTAGAACGAAAAAATATAAAATATGATATTTTATGAGCATGTAATTAAAAGCAAATTTGTTGTATTTTTAGTTTTTATATAAAAAATTTAAAGACAAATGAAAACCAACATTCCTAATATCGTAATAAAATTTAGGATCAAGCTTGATAAAATAATCAATAATAAAATATATTTATATTAAAAATTAAGTTAATAAAAAATTGATTTAAAAAATGGCCCTAATTTCAAATCTAATGTGTAAATATGTAATAGAGCTAAATGTTTGAAATTAGAATATGAGGGTTTACAAAAACGGTAATTAACTTATACAAGATTAAAATTGTGTATAGTAAAATTATACTCCTTTCATCCTATGACAGCTCCATTAAGACTCTCCCATTTAAATAAAGAATTCATTATTTTGACAGACAAAAATGTAAATAAATGGAGGATAAATTAAATAGTGTTGTTTATTGAAAAGTGAAAGCATAAATCAATTTAGAAAGTTAAAAGTGCAGGGAAGGGAGTATATATGATTTTCTTTCACAAAAATTCACAAGACAATGGTTAATTGAGATCTGTTTAAAAAAGTTGAGAAGAATTATAGGAGTTTACTCAATCTAAAAACTTGAATGTGATGGACACCCTTTTTCAGCCATTAAAAACGAACTGATCCACATTCATGACATGCTATTTAAAACATATATGAAGTAAAGACTCTCAACCCCCTCACCATTAAATCAACCAAGTCCTATGAGTCACCCAAAAACAAATGAACCTGTTCCTTATCTCCCTCAAATAAATGTTCAGAACAACCACTACCCTTCTCGCCCCTCATATTCCTCTCAACCTGTTCTCAATTTTGCTTTGATGTATTTGTGTCCCTCAAACACCAAAACAATTATGCCATCGTCGTTATATGCAACTCAGTCATGTAAAAGACAATGAGACAAATGTAGCTTTGTACCTGCTTCAAATACTGTACATCAAATTAATGGTTCATTGCATGCATGCCATGCCCTTCAAATCTAATGCAACGTCTCATATTTTAGCTCAACATACTACTCTCGTTCTCAACACTTTCTCTTTCAAATTCTAAACCTTGTACTAAAAATTCATTCCAACAATTCTTTCTACTCTCTCTTCCCATTTTATAATAAGATTTTATTATGTTAAAATATAAGATACCTTTTCACAAAAAGAATAGTTATTTGATCTTATAATTAATCAGGTAAATTTTTACTTGATAAAAAAATTACGGTTTTCCTCTAACGTGATTATTTCTTATTATTCAAGAAGATATAAGTAAATACGAATTCATTTTATGTCTCAAATTTTCAAAAATTATTTATTTGATTTTTTATATTTTAATTAATTAAACTATTTATTGATAGTGGCTTAAATTAATATATTAGATTTAGGGTTCAATTATACTAAAATAACATGTATTTTGATGTTGACATCTATTTTTTACTTGGGAAGAAAAAAAATGCAATAATATTGTTTCACTAATATTCAATTACAACACATTAATGGTATAATTCTTAATGCAGTTATCACAAAAATAAATAAAATTAACCCAGATAACGATAGGTTGGACTTATTGTTTTACTGTATTGCTAACTAACCACACTAAATATTTATTTTATAATTAATCACCTATATCTTAAATAAATTTTGTGAGGGTCCCCAAATAGATTTTAAATTAGCATGATGAAGGTTGTTGTTACTTGTCACAACGATATTTGTTGTGCACACTGCAAGTCGAATCCTACTTTTAATTCTCTCATTATTCCTTTGCCTTTTTCTTGGTGTCTTCAGTAATGGTGAGTGACCTTATAAAAAAGTTGTATGAGTCAACATGACGAATAATTAATAACGACCAAATTAACGAAGCACGAGCCAAAGATAAGAATTTTAAATAGCTAAGAAAAATAGACATGTCAAAAAATTCAAAAGTTCTTTATTTTGAATAAGAGTGTTTTTTTTTAGATTTAATTATGATTATAAAATATCAGTTTTATGGTATTATTTTTCATAAGAGTACTTTTGCCACTTTTATTAAAAAATTTTAAATCAAAATCAAAACATAAATTTAACATTTCACTTATTGAATTTAGATACGATTAAATAAACCTATCTATTTTAGAGCTTTATGGTTAAGCTCTCATTAACTTAAGCTTACTTTAATATAATCTCTGAATTAGTTTCCTTCAAAGTTTGATGAAATATTCTTATTCAATGTTAAAAGTATAGTTATTCACCACTTTTAATGTGGTGGTGGTAGCCTATATTTGTTTGAGTGTAAAATGTTATGATAAAAATATCAAAATTCTACAATTAAAAAATATATTAAAAAAATAGGTCCCACAAGTAAAAGAAATCTCACCTTGACCAACCATAAGAGGGGAGGAAAAGTTGTTGTGTTATATTTTTTTTCTTTCATATTTAAAATTTAAACATTTTTTTATAACACAAATTAATAGATAAATTGTATTAACTATAAATATAAAATATATGAAAACATCAATATTTTATAAGTTGATTTTCATTTTTAGTTAACATGACCCAATCTTTTTACATAATATATTGTGCTATATTGAATCGAGTTGGAATCTTAAGTATACAATGTTTTAAACATTTGACGAAAGAGTTTTACTGTGCAGTAATCTTGCATGATATTGTTTTCTGTAAGACATGTTGATGGTCTCTACGAAGGGGAAAAAAATGATTCGAAAGTTGTTTGGGTCTTTAATTTCACGTTTCTATCTAAATTACTCATCTTTGCAATGCATTTGCTCTTCTACTTTCTGTTTTTCTTTATTAGATAGATAGAAGAAAGACACATTGGGAAAGAAGGAGCATGATAATATTGGAAAGAAAAGAAATAAGGGTGTTACCTACCAGGGCATTAAAAGCATAGAGAAAGGGACAGGTTTCAGTGTTGAATCCCAAACAAGTTCACCTGCCTTCATTAAACCACTTTCAATTCACTTTAATGCACACTTCAACAGTGACCAACTTCAAACAACCATGCTTTCTTTCTTCCTCACTCACGCTCCTCTCCTCCACCATGCAACCTTTCCTCTGTTAAATGTTCCCAACCCACCTTCCTTTCCCTTCATTTATGTCCTCTCTCTCTTTGCATTTTAGAAACTGTCAGAAATTACTTCAGGATCTACTCATCCACACTCCTTTGCACTCCTCCTATCTACCAGCGTACCACTTTTCAGAAAGAAGCACTTAATTCATCAAACTGCGTTTCATGCAGCAAATATATATTTATATATCTCAATATATTCAAAAATGTGAGAGGATAGGGCATGCACGAAATTTACAATTAGTGTTATGTCATGTGTGAAGTGAAGACTTGATTTCTTGGTACGTATATAGTGACGGAAACCTGTTTTCATTAATTTTATTGTCATCGAAGTTTCAACCAATCTTGTTATCATGAAAAGTTTGGATCGTGTTGAGGAATACCACTTGCTCCTGAATAAAAACTATTAATGTATCAAAATAAAAAAATAAAAAACATTTTTAAAGCTTAATAAATTAGTTTAAAGATACGTCGTTTGTTAAAATGTTTTAAATTTACATTTATTATACATTCTGACATTATTATTACTAGTTTCTATATAAGTATTAATTATAAAGTTAATTCTATTATTATTATTATTATTATTATTTTACGTAGTTGTCAGTAAGACAATGCATTAATTCTTCGATGGTGCACATATAATAAGGAAATAATGGTAGCAGAGCCTACTACCTGCAAAGCAGAGTCTTGTAATAAAATTTGGAAAGTGGAGGTAGGTTCCTATCGTTTTATGGATATTAATAGCGTTCATTAGAATAAAATCAATATCAATATATTAATTGTGAGAAACAGTTAGGTCACCATTTTATTAACTGCGGATATAACCCTAACCTCTTCACTTTCCCCACACAGATTCTAATATTCTTGTTAGCAATTTTTTAATCGGTAGAATTTTAAAAATATCATTCTACATTGTTAATAGCTTTCATTGAAGCTTTCCACCTATCTTGAATTTAGAGAAAACCTGCAGGAACACTATCACTCTAAACATATTCTAAGAAAGATGGCAAATATATATAAGACAAAGTGAAGAATAAGAATAAGCTCAACCTTTGACAGTCCACAAATTTTGTACACAGCTCATAGTTCACTTCAATTGACCATGTGAAGTCGATTAAGAGATAATGTAATAATGCTTTTAACATAAAAGAAAAATTTACGTAAGTATCAATGTAATTTACACTTTTAAGATATGAAAAACCTACTCGTGTGAGGGAAGTAATAATTATAGTGATATAGGTTTGCAGGTAGACCAGATCATTGATCTATATATCCCTTTGGTCTATGAGAAAAAGCTAATCAAAACAACCTAAGCAGATTGTAGTTGTGTCTTATTTTACAAATATATTGAGAGTGCAAGTTAATTTTGTTTGCACTGTGCACTAGTGATCAACGTGTGGTCTCTGGTGGATGAACAGAATGTGAATTGTGAAGGACCGGTTTTATAGCATGGAAGAGTACGTGGAGAGGGACCACACACACGAACAACAGAATGAATGAGTATAGCTTTGTTGTTTGATTATAAAAAAACATTTCCATTGATAGATTTTACTTCCTATTTAGTGCAGGATCATGAGGACAGAAGAAAACCCATTTGGGTCCCACCTTTCTTTGCAGATTTACCAACCTGGGAAGGTGATGGGGCCTGTACTCAAGACTCTGGACAAACAACACGACACATATGAGTAATATACCAGATTTTAGGTTGTTTGGTATGTTAATAATATAGTTTCACGTTTATACTTTGATTTTTCTTCTTCTTAAATATCAATTTAGTTCCAACTTTTTTTTTTTTATGTTTATTTAGTCCTTCCTAAAATATATTCGTATATCATATTGCTATTGTCAGGTAACAATAACGCTGTCTATGTCATTTTAATGAAGATTTTAGTTTCTAAAATAAATTCTTGATTTATTTTTAGTGCTTGTATCTTTCAAACTTTGATATTAGGTGTTTAATCAACTTTTAATTTACTTATTTTACTTCTTATAGTATTGTTAAACTTTTAATAATAGTTATTAATTACAAGTATTTCCTCTTTTAAACTACACAAATATAATTTTTAATATTTATAGTTTTTACATTTTTTTTAAATCTTTATGTATAACATTTAAAAGAAAGTTTTTATAATAATGTGAATGTAATAATATGGCTCGAATGAGTAATTGAATATTAATCCTTTTTGTCTAATTTTAATATTTTGTCGGTTTTAATATGTTTTAAGACTATTTTTATTTTTTAAGACTCAAATATAAAACATAATTGTTCTCACTTTTTAGAAATATATAATATGTGTTTAACAAAAATATCACTACTAATAGATAAAAGAATAAATAAGTAGCCACGTATGATTTAAACAAATATTTTTATTACCCTTTTATCAACACGACTTGCAAGTTTATATCAGTGTATCTCTGCACACATATATCCGTTACTACTTATTATTTTAAAATTACTTAAATATTCTTTAAAGTATACATAATACTATAAAAAATTGTCCTAAATTAATAGGTTTGCCACTTTATAGGACATAGATGTATCTGAAGATTTTGCTATTATCACGATAGGAATTTTTTTACCTATTGTTAGAGCCCCTTTATTGTAATGTTATTTTTATCTATATTAATTAATAAAACATTTTCATGTTTTTATTTTTGACCTTTAATCTATTTTAAAAACAAAAAATAATTATAATTATAATTAATTATTTTCAGTTTATTTTTTATATCATAGTAAATATTAATTAAATATGCAAGTACCCACTATAAACAGTCAAAATAAGTCAGGTCAGTCCTATTAGTCCTTTAATATGGATTGGACGAACAAAATGCAAAAGACCAGATGGATCCACATAAAACAGTCGACATGATCTTATGGGCTTCCACAACTATCCCTTGGGCCTTAAAGTTAGAACTTTTACCCATATCAAAACCTTACTTCCTCCCAACGCAAATATATATTAAAAAATCATATTTGGTAAATTTTTTTAATAAGGATAAATATTTACATCTCTACTAAGTTAACATCTTTAAAATCGTCAATCATTTACATAACTTTAGATAGTATAATAAAAATCTCATTACAAAATTAAACACCTCAACCACCTATTCATTATTAGAGTTAATGAATTAACAGCATGAAACAAAAGAAAAATAAAAATAAAAAATCAGAACCAAAACATTTTATATTATGAAAGCAGAGAAGTAATTAAGTGATAATTGAATCAAAATCTTTCAAATATCATGTGCACCCAATTCAAATCGTTCCCTCGTCAGTTATTTGAAGAAGATGCGACAGAGTAGTTTTTGTTTGATGGTTTTTTCTTGGTATGTTCAGTTGACAGCTTCAAACAACTGCGGCTATATTGAGAAGGAGAATTCATGTTAATGATACGCTTCTGCTCCACGATGCGTGTTAAACTTAATACAAATTATCAGCTCCACATTGAGCCATATAGATGAAGCACAGGCACATTAAACCTGTAATTATTATTTTTTTTAATTTATTTTAATGGGCCTCAAGGACCCCGCGATTGGATACCTCCATGCATGTCTACACTTTAAATATATTCACCTTATAATTAAATAAATTCCATTTTTCTCTTATATTTATAACTCAATTTTGGGTTTGAGAATGTGTTTTAAATTAAACAGTTTGGATTTTTATACATATTTTCAATCTTATTTTTATGGATATTGAGATGGGTATTCTATAATTGTTATAGAAGATATAGTTTCTAACCTTATGGACAGAAGACGATTTTTATCAGAGGTGAAAGAGCAACAAAACGAATATAAAGGAGTTATAGATATATAAAGGAAAATGAAGGTATAGAAGAGCGTAAGAGCGAAAAAGTTATTTAGGATTTCAAAGTAAAATAATATTTTGGTCATTTCATGTGAATTATGGAGACGGAGAAAGAAATTATGTAGATAAAAAAAAAAAAAAAAAAAAAAAAAACCTATAAACAACTACATATATCCATATCTCACGATGAAATTTTTAAACAAAACAAAATCCATGGTCAACCAAATGAAATTTCAATATTAATCTAACCAACATATTTTTGGTGTTAATTTAAAAACTTCTCAATAATAATATTGTGCAAGATTAAGAGATTTCGTGATCTATGTGCGTGATGCAACTTTGACAACGATGTTAAAAAAAAAAAAAAAATCTATCATATCAGTATGCATTTGGATGAATTTCATTCAATAAATGCATTGCATATTCATTAACATCTTATTGAAAAGATAAATATAGTACAAACCTATACTTTAGATAACGTAAAACAATAAAATTTACTTAGCCCTGCAATTACAGGCCTCACTGGAATATAGTGTGGAGCCATGTAAATCATATATTATTGTAGTAGACTTTCTTGCTTTCATATACATATAAAAGATGGAAATAAATTGTCCTTTTTTAGTAGTTATTCATTGGAAGGATTATCTTGGGTAAGTTGTCCTTTAACAATAAACCTTCGCCAATACCAGTGTTTGCTCCATATTGCATACATTGAATCCAAAGGAATTCCTTTGGTCTCGGGCAAGAACAGTATGACAAAGATGGTGATGATTGCAATCCAAGCCGCGTAGAAGAGAAAAGCCCCAAACTTGAAGTGGCAAAGCATTGTCAAGAATGTCTGGGATAGAACGAAGACGGTTAAGAATTGCACTGCCACGGCTATGCTTTGTCCATTGGATCTTATCTTAAAGGGGAAAATCTCACTTGGAATTAGCCAGCAAAGAGGGCCCCAGGACCAACCAAAACCTGCAGCGTAGAAGCACAATAATACTAGTACCACTATGGCATTGCCCTTTGAAATGTGCTCGGTACCATGTACACCACTCACCACTGCCAGCACAATAGTCACCGCGAGCTTCACAATGATAGATCTTTTAACGTAATTATTATTAAGAAAATAATTTGTGCACTAACAAACAATATTATAAAGATTGAATCACGTACCATGCAGAGAAGCATTTGAACGCCACCGGCTATGAACAAGAATCTTCTGCCAAAGCGATCGACAACCGCAGTTGAGACAAGGATGGAAGCCAGGTTGACGAGTCCAAGTATAACGGCGGAGAGCAACGCGGAGTCATTGCCGAAGCCCACAGACTGAAAAAGGTTTGGCGCATAGAAGGCCACAATGTTGATCCCCGTAAGCTGCTGAGAAAGCGGAATAGCGAACGCCATCACCAACTGAGGCCGGTACTGTTCCTCAAAAATGGTCGTAATGCTTTCATTTTCCATGGCTTTCGAAACCTGCGAGGATTTTATGAGTTGTTGGAGTTCGGGTTCCACGTCGACGGTGGATCCCCGGACTTTGCGGAGGGCGTTTCGGGCTTGGTCTATGTGGTCGCGCTCTACTAGGCTGCTGGGAGTGTCGGGGATTAGAAATGCGCCGATTGTCATGATGATTGCGGGGACTGTAGCCAGGCCCAGGGACACGCGCCACCCCCATGGGACCCTCGCCGTGCGGTAGTTTATGCAGTTCGCCAACACCACGCCGATTCCGATGAAGAATTGGAACCCCGTGTTGAATGCGCCGCGCCATCTGGGTGGAGCGATTTCCGACAGGTACACTGGCGTTGCCTTTAATTTGTGAAGTATGGACATACAATATTGCAAATTTTGTTAGAAGAGACTGCACATACGTAATTTTGAAGATACGTCCAAAGAGACGTGTATTAGAAAAATCTAAACTAATTGTTGAATTTTTTTATTCAATGTAATTGTTTGAAGTTATTATACATTGAGAAATTTCATCATAGCTTATATAGGATCACTACCTTGACTTCTATCTTTTCTCTACCGAATTAATGTTATTTTATGAGTATAAATCGTCGAAAGTTTCCTACGGAAATGATTAGAACGGGGGGGCATTGTTTCTTCCTTTGACAGACACAGAAAAAAACTAAATGTAAAGATGTTTTTGCTTTTAATTTTTAAAAAGTATTGATATATTCACACTCCATTTTCAACCAACCATCATTTAACAATTTGATTTTATTAATATAACAATAATAATATTAACTTTATTATTATATTAATAAAACCAAGTTAACTCTATTATTATATTAACAAAATCAAGTTATCAAATTATTGTTTGTTGAATTTGGAGTTACCAATTGATATTTTTTTTAAAATTAGTTTTGAAAAGTTTATAGATAATAGAAATAAGAGAAATAGACAAGGTAGGTACCAAGTTAAAGATGCTTTTTTTTTTTAAGTTGAAAAGAGTATATTACTTTTGATAAGTTTTATCAAATAATTTTTTATTTTGAAAAGAAAAATCAATTTTCAATAACATAAACAAATATGTCCTAATATTTCCCTCCTTAATTAGTTTCCTCTCAACTGTTTGTTTCAACCAGCATCTAGATAATTGATGTTGGTTTTACATGGTAAATATGTTTACAAAATTGGATGAGTGATTCAATCGCTTATAAGATACCATTAAAATAAGTCGAATCGGTAATTTTATGATATTAAAAATTACAAGAACATAATCACATAAATTTTTTTCGAATGACCAACTTTGTAGTTCTTAGACCAATTATGTTTCAAATATATTTTGTTATTTATTTGAACTAATTAGTTTTGATACATAATAGGCAATTAAAGAGAGAATATAAAGAATGAATAAATGAGATTTTGGATGAAGAAAATGTGAGTGGAGAAAGTGTAGAGGGTTCAATTGCGCAAGACTAGATACTCCCCAGCTTTATTTGGTCCAGCCAGCAACTAAACCATTAATTTTGTTATTACACAACATAATTGGAAAGAATGTAGAGGGGTTTGGGATTTTGGATGAAGACAACATAATTGCATAGAATCTGGATTCAGTTGGGACCCAATGCTTGATGCCATGAACATAAAAGTCATTGATATTATTGTTACAAAGTATAATTGAAGAGGAAAGTGAATATGAGTAAAATAGTTACGATTTTGGATAAATGAGGATGGAGTGGAGGTTCGGATTCAAATTGCACAATCAAACCAACATTATATATATTGAATTGTAAAATGCCTCACGTATCACCACTATAAAAGAATGAAGAATATTTATGTTATGGAATTGAATTGAACTCTAGTGTTCTAACTAGTAAGTGCCAACCAATTAAAGCTATTAACATTGGATGCCCTTTCTTGTCTTTATCATGCTACCTATTATATTCTATGTTCACTAGTGGAAAAATAGCATATTTTAATCCACCCGTCATAGTATGTAGCGCGGTGGCAATTTTGTAATTAAATCATAAACTTTCTATGTCGGGTAAATTTTAACCGACATAGTAAGTGGAAAGTTCACTTTTTATGTCAGTTAAAATTTACGCGACATCGGTTATAATTTACCCGACATAGAAAGTGAATATGTCGGTTAAGTTTTACCGACATAGAAAGTATTTTTATGTCGGTTAAAATTTAACCGACATAAAGTACTTTCTATGTCGGTTGAAATTTAACCGACATAGAAAGTGTATATTAAATAAAAAAAATTAAATATATAAGTATATAAATATTTATATATCAAGATATATTTGTATTTATATATTTTGTATATAAATATAATTTATTTGTAAGTTATGTATCGTAAATTTGTAGTAGTTTAGTGGTTGACTTATCGAGTCTCCAACTCTACAGGTACTTGGGTTCGAATCCTATTAGGACACTAATAAATCCTACCAAGTTGACAATAAAAAGTCTTTTTTGCACTAGTTTGTAAACCAAACAATATTAATATGTCCTTCACACTTTCATTTTACCATTCTTACAATACCTTGTTTTAGATAATAAACAAAGATAACACACATTTTTTTTTCATACGGTATATCTTTTTTCTTAAAACAAATAAATGTGGTGACATCACTATAAAATATTATCAGAGTTGATCATTTCCTTCCCAATGTTAATTTTGGATAATTATAGATTTTTTTTCATGAATATTTACATTATAAAACAGTTTATCTTTATGAAAACTAAATTTATTATCCATGTTAGTTATTACTGTTTTTTTATGATATGTTTGTTTACGAGTAAAGAGTAAATAGTAAAAATAAATTATTATTTTTATTTGGAAGTAAGGGAGTTGATAAAAAAATTATAATTTTTTTCACTATGATTTACATATTTTATTTTTCATTTACGAGGAAAATGTGAAAAGCTATAAAATATTATTTTATAAAATTATTTTCTCTAAATTAAATATTATTACTTTTATATTTACAATTTCAATTCCTTTATGATGTATGATAACTTTTTATTTGTTATTTTAGTAGAGTGTGATAAATATAAAAATGATTATAAAAAATAAATAAATAATTAATATATTTATATTTTTTAATATGGTATTACTTTATAATTTAAATTCAAATATTTTTAGAAAAATTATTTTTGTAATAAAAATATTTTATAATTATATATTAAAGTATATATTATTGAAAAAATAAATACTTATGTGAAGATGATAATTTAAAAATTATTTCATTAGTAAAAATCAATTCATAATCATGAAGTGTTTTGTAATTATACAATTTATTTATTTATTATTTTAAATAAATATTTTTTTCTTTTCATATATGTTTCTCTCAATCGAGTTTCTATATTTACCATCCTATTTCTTTTCTTTTGTTTTTTATACTTTATTTTCTTATTATCAAGAGACATTAAATAACACCAACCAATATTAACAATTTTAAATTTATAAATAAATAAATTGTAGCTTACTAATATAATAAGATTTATTTATTATATTCAATTATTAATCATGAGTTATTAATTAAAAATAAAAAAAGTAATAGATAAAATTGCCGCTATGCAACAACTTTTTATTGACCGTTATTAATTTTAATAGTGTGAAATAATTTGGGTGAAATGGAAAAATCAAAGCATCATACGACAGCAATGGCAAAATTCACTGCATTGCAAACCCATCCATGGAACCAAATTTGGAAAAATAAAAAATAAAAAGCCCTATGTTCATTGTTAAAAGAAAATAAAAAGCACGTGATTAATTGGTGGATGTGAGAAAAAACTCCTCCTGTACCTAGGGTTACAAAGAAAACCTCGATGCTTGATCGCGAGGGCAAAACGGAACCTACGAAAAATATGTAGACAAATAAGTATCTAAATAAAACACTCAGTATGTTATCACTTAATATATTTGCAATGAGTGATGCATGGTCAATTTATAGGCCCTTTGGATATGGCCTCTCAACTACATGCATTTAATACAACTACTACATTTTAACTATATACATTCAATACAACAACTACCTCTCAACTACTACCTCTATAACTACTACCTCTCAACTACATACATTTAATGTTTACCTAACAAAATCCCCCCATAAACTTAAATGTTTTTCTTGTCCTTCATTCCAAGCATCTTCTTGTTGTTCTCGAACAAAGTGGTTGACAGTGGCTTCGTGAACATATCTGCAGCTTGTGTTCGGGTTCCGACGTGCTCTAACTCCACATTTCCTTCTTTCACTTGTTCTCGGATGAAGTGAAACCGAACATCAATATGTTTGCTTCTCTCATGATTGACCAGATTATTTGCCAATTCAACGGCCAACTTGTTATCAACTCGAATCACAGTCCCTCTTTCTTGCTTCAACTCCAGCTTGCTTAGAAGGTTTCTAAGCCAAACTGCATGACAGACACTCCAGGATGTTGCAACGTACTCGGCTTCACAAGTTGACAACGTTACAATGGGCTGCTTTTTTGAAATCCAGGTGAATGTTGTGTTTCCCATGAAGAATACATATCCAGACGTGCTTTTCCGGTCATCAACATCTCCACACTAGTCACTATCCGAGTAGCCTACTAGTCGATAATCATCCGTCCTAGTATACATTAGGCCAAGTGACACTGTTCCTCTCACATACCTTAGAATTCTCTTTAGTGCCTTCCAATGAGTATACCTTGGCTCCTCCATATATCGACTTGCTATTCCAACACTTAGCATTAAATCTGGTCTGGTATTTGTAAGATACCTAAGACTTCCAATCAGACTTCGGTATTTGCTCGCATCAACTCGGTCTCCATCTGCATACTTAGAAAGTTTTGTACCAGGTTCCATAGGGGTGGAAACCGGGTTGCAACTTGTCATCTTAAACTTCTTCAAGATCTCCTCAGCATACCTTTCCTGCGACACAAAGATGTCATCCTTTCCCTGAACAACTTCTAAGCCAAGAAAATACTTCATAAGACCCAAGTCAGTCATCTCAAACTCCTTCTTCATCACTTCTTTAAACTCTTCAATTAGCTCGACATTATTCCCCATGAAGATAAGATCATCAACATATAGGGCAACAAACATCACATCTTCTCCTTTCTTCTTTATGTATAGAGCATGTTCATAGGGACACTGCTCATATCCATTCCTTTTGAAGTAAGTGTCAATTCTTTCATTCCATGCTCGTGGAGCTTGTTTCAAGCCATAAAGTGTCTTCTTCAATCTCAGCACTTTCTTCTCTTCTCCTCTTCGCATGTATCCGAGTAGTTGTTCAACATATACTTCCTCCTCCAAGATTCCATTCAGAAATGTCGACTTCACGTCCATCTGCAAGATTGTCCATCTGTGTTGAGCTGCTAAGGAAATCAACAAGCTAATTGTTTCCATTCTCGTCACTGGGGCGAATACTTCGTCATAGTCTATTCCTTCTTTCTGCTTGTACCCCTTCACTACGAGTCGAGCTTTATATCGCTCAACTTCTCCTTCAGCATTTGTCTTCTTCTTGTACACCCACTTTACGCCGATAGGTCGTGCTCCTTTGGGCAAATCAGTTAGCTCCCATGTGTTGTTGCGTTCTATTGCTCCGATCTCCTCGTCCATTGTCTTTCTCCACCTTTTCTCCTGTACGGCCTCTTCAAAACTTAAGTCTTCTGAATCTGCCAAGAGACATACAACATGCACTTTGTCAGTGGAGTTGTATATATCTTGTAAACTTCGCGCTCTGGGCTGTAGAGGTTCATCTTCTTCATCAGAAGTCTCATGATCTCTCACAGTATGTGGTGTATCAACTTCCGAGCTTCTACTTCCTATGGACTCCTTCTCTGGGTTGTTCCAACTCCATTCGCTTTCTTCATCAATTTGAACATCTCGGCTCATGATGACCTTCTTAGTTATTGGGTTAAACAACTTGTACGCCTTGGTTTTTTCATCATACCCAATAAACACGTACTTTTTACTTCTATCTTCGAGCTTGGTCCTCTGTTGAGCTGGAACATGACCATAAGCTATGCTACCGAACACTTTAAGGTGAGACACACTCGGTTTTCTTCCACTCCAAACTTCTTGCGGTGTCTTCTCGTTCAGCTTAGCATGTGGACATCTATTTTGCACATAGATGGCACATTGCACTGCTTCTGCCCATAACTCCTTTGGCACGTTTTTGCTTCTCAACATTGTTCGAACCATGTCAAGAATGGTTCGATTCTTCCTCTCGGCAACTCCGTTTTGTTGGGGTGAGTATGGTGCTGTCAGAAATCTTTTTATCCCTTGCTCCTCGCAATACTTCATGAGTTCGGATGAAATGAACTCGCCTCCTCGATCAGACCTAACAGATTTGATAAGCATGTCAGTCTCTTTCTCAACCATTGCTTTAAATCTCTTGAACACCTCAAACACCTCGGATTTCTCCTTCAAAAAATATACCCAGGTTTTTCTTGAAAAATCATCTATAAAAGAAATGAAATACATTTTCTCACTGAAGGACTCAGGGGTAATCGGTCCACAAATATCTGTGTGAATCAATCCGAGTTGTTCCTTTGCACGGTACTCGGCCGTCCTCGGAAATGAGGTCCTCGGATGCTTCCCGAGCACACACTCTTCACATAATTTCTTTTCAAATTTCATAGACGGGAGTCCTCGCACCATCTCTTTCTTTACCAACTCGGTCAGTCCGCCAAAATGCAAGTGGCCAAATCGAAAGTGTCACATCATTGCTTCATCCTTCACGTCAAGTTTCAAGCACCTCTCTTGGACTATCTTCAAGTCCAACTTGTACATTCTGTTCTTCTTCATTTCTACCCGGGCAATCAAACGATCCGACTTGTCCTTCAGGTATAGTACTCGGTCTTTCATCAGAACCGAGTAGCCTTTCTCCATCAGCTGACCCATACTCAATATGTTGCTTTTGAGATCGGGTACATAGTACACGTCTCTAATTTCTCCAACTCAGCTATTCTTCTGCAGGTACCAGATTGTACCTCTGCCTTTTACTGCCACCTTTGATGCATCTCCAAATGACACGTGTCCGACCTCAACTTTAGTGAGCTCCTTAAAAAGGTTTTCGTCCCCGCACATGTGGTTACTTGCTCCTGTATCAAGATACCAAACCGAGTTGCCAGAACAGCTCGGACTTAGCTCGACATCCGAACTTCTTGACATGATCAATACTCCTTCTTCCTCAGTGTCCTCAGAGAGGAGGTTTGTCTCCTTCTTCCTCTCAGATCGGCAGTCCTTCGCGAAATGCCCAACCTTCCCACAATTATAACATTTGATACCTGAATAACAGTCCTTAGCAAAATGACCGTACTTCCCACATTTGAAGCACTCAACTCCGGAATTGCTTGACTGACCACCTCGGCCTCTACCGTCACGACCTCTACCTTGTCTTCGGCCACGCCAGTTTTGTTGACTGACTGGCTCCTTGCCTCTTTCATATTCTCCTCTGCCTCTACCACCTCGGCCTTGAGTGTTCTGAGCATAAGGAACCTTCTTCTCCTTTAAGGTTGTCTTTGCTTGGAGTGCTTGATCAAGGGACTCCTCTTTCTTCTTCCTTCTCCGCTGCTCATGCGCTTCAAGCGACCCGGCAAGCTCTTCCATCGAGAGCACCGACAAGTCCTTGGACTCTTCTATTGCACAAACGATATTCTCAAAATCGTCAGTTAACGACCTTAAGATTTTCTCCACCACTCGGCAAGTGGGCAGCTCTCTCCATTTCTTCCGAGTTGATTCACCACGGTCTCAACACGGGAGATGTACTCGGCAACCCCTTCAACCTCTTTCATCCTCATGCTTTCAAGCTCGCCTCTAAGAGTTTGAAGCTTGACTTGCTTCACGCGATTATCCCTATGCCTTCTCCAGAATATCCCACGCTTCTTTTGAAGATTTAGCATTTGTTATCTTCTCAAAGCCGGACTCATCAACAGCTCGGTACAGTACGTACAAAGCCGTTTTGTCCTTTACTCGTGTTGCTTTCAATGCAGCAAGCTGAACAATCGTCTGCTCTTCAATATTCTCTGGTTCTTGGTGCCCATTTTCGACCACATCCCATACTTCTTGGGAACCAAGGAGAGCCTTCATTTGCAGACTCCAGTTATCATAGCTTACGCCTTTTGATAACTTTGGTAGGGGCATGCTGTTAGCTAAGTTGGTCATCTCAAACAAACTCTCTAACTCTCAAACACTCTCTCTAACGCACTCAGACACTCAGGCTCTCAAGCTCTGATGCCAATTTGTAGACAAATAAGTATCTAAATAAAACACTCAGTATATTATCACTTGATATATTTGCAATGAGTGATGCATGGTCAATTTATAGGCCCTTTGGATATGGTCTCTCAACTACATGTATTTAATACAACTACTACCTTTTAACTACATATATTCAATACAACAACTATCTCTCAACTACTACCTCTATAATCACTACCTCTCAACTACATACATTTAATGTTTACCTAACAAAAGAAACCAACTAATCCTATAGAGACGAGGCAGTGATTGATGATGGGTGTGAAACGTCTACGTTTTAAGTGATAACCACCAAATCTTATCGCAAAATGCTAGCAGAGAGAAGAAATAAGAAGAGTTTAGGTTCGGACTCAGAGAATGAACGAGCAAACTGCGAGAAGAGAATGTGTGGTGGAAATCATTTTAATTTCAATAAATTCTGGTCTAATTTGATTTCGTTCAAAGTTAATGTTTGTGTACGGAGATTAATAATGAATAGAATTCCGACAAAAAAAAAAACTCCACGTAGAGATTAATGTTGGAGGAAGAACAAGTAAAGTGTGGACTATGTAAATTGGAAGAAGAAAGAAATGATCATATATTATTTCACTTAAAAAAAGCTTATATGATGTGGGGAATGTGGTATAAGTGGTTAGGATATTCAGTGGCCTTATCAAGGAATAGAAAGAAAAATTTCAACCAACACTTAGGATGGTGAAATCAAGGAAAATATAAGGAAATTTTGGTAACTATACAGGCTGCAATGATAGAAGGAATATAGTAACGGAGGAATTAAAATGTATTCAAAGTAAGAACAAAATAAAGACGAAATGATTTAAATTAAGATAAGAATGACTACATATAAAATTTGAAAGAATATTCTTCACTACACACTGTTAAATAGTACAACCAAATATATGTTTTGACTAACGTGTGATAAAGAGAAAAATATGAAGATTATATGCTATATTATAAAATCATTAATTTTTGTTAAAATAGGTCAGGTTACCTATGTATGTATATACTCATTTAATAATGGATTATAACTTAGACGGTATTTATGTAAATAGAGAATCATTATACAGAGAATTTGACATATAAATAACCATGAACTTCTCTTTTTGTAATCAAACGATGTAAATTGCACAGTTGGTGTAACAGTTTTTACTATATTTTGTTTTACAGTTTTTACTATATTTTGTTTTACTCATAAAAAAAATTGGGTGAAATGGACTAAATTATATTAATTTAAAAAATAGAAAACAGAAATTGAATAAAAATAAATAAATAAAAAGAAAAAATATGTATAATTAAATATTTTTATAAAGACATCAATAATAAGTGTTTTATAAAAATAAAAATTACTAACATATAATTGATAGACAAAATTAAACTTACTTGATTAGTGAAACCGACTCCAATGCCAAGTAAGATTCGACCAAAGATGAGCATAGCGATATTTTCCGCAGCACCGTTAATGGCACCACCGGCAAAAAAAATGCAACCACCGAAGATCATGGTGTTTCTCCGACCCAACGCCATCGTGACACGACTGGCCATGAGAGACGATGCTAGTCCCGCCAGATGAAGGGAGGACGTAAATAATGTCAACAACTGATTGTCATACACACAATACACGTTTCTTTCCGCTCTGGTAGACTTTCTCAATATGGATGGAAAGAATTTTTCAAGAAATGGTTTCATCGTAGTAACACCTCCTGAAATCATAGATAGTCGTTTCCGTTGATAATAATACCAACAACTTCCAATATTATTTCCTTTATTTCAAAATGAATATAGTTTTAATCTTACAAAAATAAATATTTTTATCTGGAGTAAAGCATTAATTATGTATTCCTAATTTGTATATAAATTGATTACTCTCTTTATCTCAATGAATATAAAATATTTATTAGAAGAATGATTTCTTAAAATTATTTTAAAATATATATTTATAATTAATTTTATTTGTGTGAAAAATGTGTAATTATTACTAAATGGAGATGTATTATATAAAAAACAATCGCAAACATTTGTTTTAACTGTTGCTGTAAAATTAGTTGCAATAAAATAAATTATGTGCCTAAGGAGAACCTTCTATACACATACACACTCCCTGCAACTCAGAAATGTCTGTTGTAAACTAAATTTAGGTACTGTTCACTAGCATTTCTTTAAGAAATAAAAACTAAAATAAAATACATTATTTCACTATTTAAAATTAGTTTATGATTTAAATAAAATAAATTAAAAAAATCGAATTAATTTATTAAAAATCTGATTTTAATTTATTGAATAATTTCTTTTTTTTTAATTTTTTTTATCTTAAAAGTGTTTGTTGAAAGTTTGTTCAAATATAATTTTTATTATAAATTAAATTCAATATAAGGGTTGGTGGAGCCAAATTTAATTGAAAAAACAAAAAAAAAATTAACCAGTGTACTCCAAAGAAGACTTTATACTGTGATTTTGACTGGTAGATGCCGTTGGAATCAGCGTTCTGAATAATTAATATATTAATTGTAAGATGTGAATGTGATTTATTTTACTAGTATGATTCAATAAAAAAAATTAAAATTTAACTATTTTTTCATTTTTTTTTGTGAAAACATTTTTTGTTTTAAATTAAAAGTTTAAAATAAATAAAATGAATTTTTTATTTGTATAATTATATTTTTTTAAAATTTGTGTTTAAATTTTGATTATATTTATTTAAATTATAGATATTTTTAATTATAAGATTGCATAATTTTTTATAAATTTAGGAGAAATTAAAATTATAACTATAATTATTTTATATAATTTCGTTATAAATTTTTTAACTTTTAATTATAAATTATTTAATAATTTTTTAAAGAAATTTTAAAAAATATTTATCAATTTAACAATAACAAAGTCACAAAGTGATTTTTATATCTTAGATCCTTATTTAATAAAAAAATAAAAACAAACAGAATGCGGAATATTCTTCATCATACATAATTTAGTAAACATATGAATATTTTGCTTTAGTCTCTTTGATATAACTCTATTAGGCCAAGTAGAACATAAATAAGTGATGTCATGTCAATCCATAGTTTGTATCATCAATTGACTAACACCATTAGTCTGAAATATTAATTTTATGAGAAATAATTTCGTGAAATCAATTTTACAAACATTCATTTATATTTATATTTATATAACTAATTTATTAATTAATAATGGGTTAATGACAAAATAGACCAAATTACAATTATCTTATCGTTACTAACACTGAGATAACGTTTAGTTGAATACTAATTGACTAACACCATTAGTCTTAAAATGTTAATTTTATGAGAAATATTTTTTGTGAAATAAATTTTCTAAACATTCATTTATATTTATATTTATAGAATTAATTTATTAATTAATAACGGGTTAATGACAAAATAGACCATATTACAATTATCTTAACGTTACTAACCCTGACTTGACGTTTAGTTGCATACTGACAGATAAGAAAAAGAGGGTTACCAGCTGGTCCAATTGCTGTGCCATTACCGAACCAAACACCAACCACCCTCTTTACCCTCATAGTTTATCATTATCTTTTCCGATTGCCATGGAAAATAAAAATTAACAAGAAACTCACGTATACACATGAATCGGCACAATCATTGTAACCTAGTTTGTTACTCTTTTGTTGTTCGTAGAAGCATATGTTGTGGTCGTATGAATGGTTTGGATAGGAACTAATTAAAGCACATAAATTAAAAGAACGGTGAAAGGTGAGAAAAAATACAAATTAAAAGGAAAAATATTATATGAAAATACCTGTGATTCCAATGTCGTATCCAAAAATTAGACCACTGGACGCAGCAACGATGCAAGTGATGACAACGGAGAGTGTAATCCTGCCGTTCAAGGCACTCGGTGAAGAAGCATCAACGGCGAACCCCCCGCCGGCCATTCTGGTGGTTCTGCTTCTTCCTTTTTCTCTCTCTTTTATGGGCTTCGCAATTGAATGTACTCTTAAATAGCCCGTGGGTGTGAGTTTTTTTTTTCTGGTAAATGGTCTCTCATCAACCACGTAACACCGCGGACAAAATAATTTTTCCCTTTGGAAAATTAATCGAAGTTACTCTAATACGTTTTTACTGTAATCAATTCGAGTATTAAATTTGGGGTTTTATAAATTCAATAAATCTAGATCGAATTAATTATGCTCATTACGGTTAATTACTATGTATGAAATCTTATAATATACTTAAGTAGTGTCATTTTATGATTATAATAGTTAAATTGATGTATTTTTTAATAAAATGGAATTTTATATTTATACATTAAGAAAGTTAATTAATACAAATTAAAACGATTTGTTACTGATAAAATTGAAATTATATACTTTTTTAAAAATGTTTAAGTTTTATTTTATTTTCTAAATTTATTTACACGTAAAGATAATATAATTTTTTATATGTAATTATTAAATATAGGTAAAATATATTATAATAATTCACACATCTTATTTAGTAAATCGGTTTAGGATTTAGATCTATGATTTAGGGTTTATTATAACAAATTGAATCCCTCAATAATTTAATATATATTGAGGTTTCTTTTGGGAAATAAAATTACGAGAAGGAGACAGATCCATAAAGTACCTTTAAAAGTTAAAAGTATTTTTTTTATATATAATTATAATTATGAATAGATAAGATTAATTATGATGATATGTATAACTAAAAATTGCTTTTTAGTTTTACACTGTGAAGCATATTTTTAAAAATAAAAATTCGTTGAAAAACAAATATTTACTTAATTCACAGACAAGAGTGTAGATTTATTTGTTCTTAAAATAAATAGACAAATTAATTATTATGACACATGCATATACGTTACTCACATCTAATTTATTATTTTGGTTCTCAAATTTTAATATATTTATTTATATATTTATAATTTTTTATTTCATTATCTTTAATTTTATAATTTTCATATAATTTATTATTTTATTTTTAAATTTAATTATTATTTTAATATTTATTTATAATTTTATTCTTTCACATTTTAATTTTTTTATATTTATTTATTATTTTTTAATAATATATTATTTAATCCAAAATCAATTATCAACATCGTGTATACATATTGATTGAGAATATATATTTTTGAATGGTAGGTAGGATCAAGTCTGAACTACCATGTCACAGTTTCTATTCTTCTCGCAAAGAAGTGATATATGCTTGAGCTTGAAATAAAATGCAAATAAAGAGAAAGAAAGTGCATATTAGAAATAATAATAAAAAAATTATACAAGCTACTAGCAATTTGTCCATCTGTCATATTAGGATAAAATATAAGGAAAATCGTTTTACCTTTTTCATATTTTTAGTTCCATATACATAAATCACTTTTGTAACGGAAACACAACTATAAATAACCTTTTTTTTTCAGTTTTAGAGTTTTTTTATTTATTAGTTTAGTTATCTATATCTATTTAGAAGTGTTTGAAAGTTATTCTTCTCTTATATTTACTCAAACAATGTAGAAAAAATTATGCTCAGGCAAAACCCTATTTCTATACGTAGTTATTGAACTTTGTTATTATAGAAAGAGATCACTTTCTATATTCATCAATGCAATAACTAATTAACTAATTTAAAATACAGGGAGTGGTTTTCTACATTAGTTATAAATAATAATAAAAAAGTGTTCATTATCTCAAAAACGATTATAAAATATCCTAAACACTCATTAACGTATGTGTATATTTTGGAAAAGATCATGTCCGTTCAAATTGAATAGGTTCAATAACATCTTTAAATAGCGGTTTTTCATTCTCATATACCACTAATGAGAATTGACCATTGCCACAACAACTAATAAAAATTTAACTATATAATAAGTTTAATTTGTTAAAGTAAAAAATTATATTACTTTTATCAGAAAATTCTTATTATATCTGTATGTATTATGATAAGCATAATGCATAACGTAATAATCATACTGTAGTTGTTTGTTTATTATACTAAAATGAATAAAAAAATATAACTAATCTAATTTAGTGTGATATAAATTAGTAATCGTCATAAAAGGCCAAGTTAAAATATCTTAAAAAATATTAATAAAATAGAAAGTTCTTCCCCCAAAATGAAAAAGCAAATCATAAAAGAGTCCACCAATAATCATGTGTTAAAGATGAATGAAACAAATTGAAGGAGAAAAAGTTAAAGTAATTGAAAATCCTCTTCGTGGGTATACTCGAGATGACGATAAGGTAATATAAATACTATTTTTCAAAAAATATGTTTATTAAATTTCTTAATTCTCTCATCATATATCCTTCATCAGTCTCCATCCATCCATTTATGGGATCATTGGATTGACCAAAGACATTATTGAAATGAAAAAGAGAAGCGGGAAACGAGGATAAGGTGTGGCGTAGCGAAGTAATAAAACAGGCATTTGCGCTTGCGCATAATTGCAGTGGAACAACAACGTTTGACTTGATTTGCCCACACATATATAACAAGAATGTACAATTGTTTCATTTTCCATGCTTCCCTTCATTTTCTTTTGTTCCCACAACACAATACAAATCAAAGAAGAGTGTTTGGAAAACTGAAACAACAATGTCCACGTTGAAGCTGCCTCATCATGTTCCTCAGGCTGCCGAAGACTGTGAACAGCTCCAAAAAGCCGTCAAAGGTTTCAATCTTCAATTCATGTTTTAAATTTTAATGATCTACTACCAATGGTGTAAATTAACCTCAAGCATTTTATTTGATGCCTTCTGGCGCTTTTCTAGTCATATTGTGATTTCATCGGTGCATGTGAAGGTAACAATAATTTAGACAGAGAAGGATAATCCTAAATACTCTATTAATTAAATAGGAATGGTTAATCTAAGACTTTTCAAGCGATACATGATACTCTGTCGTTAGAAATTATTTAATTCAAGGTCATGTTGCTTTTCCAAGTTATTTCAAAATCATGCCGTTTATATATTGTGATTTTGTTTTCAGTTTTGAGGATCTCGTGTCGTGGGTTATAGATTCGTTGTGCTTTTATTTGACTTTTGACGAGTTTTCAATTACCAAATATAATTGTAGGTTGGGGGACTAACGAGGGGCTGATCATATCCATCTTGGGTCATAGAAATGCTGCTCAGAGGAAGCTTATCCGAGAAACTTATGCCAAGACCCATGGAGAAGATCTCCTCAAGGTCTTGGACAAAGAACTCACCAGTGATTTTGAGGTCAGTGAAGTGCAGGAATAGAGTTTTTCTCATAATTACACAATTCCCTCAACAATCTTGTATCGTTTGACGTATTCACTGGATCATGTACCAAATGTTGACTTCTCTTTAAAGGAAAGGAGGTCTTCTAATAATAATAATAATGTAAAAGTGATGAAACGAGTATATGTGTACCCTAACATGTAGCTGGTATGATGGACGTGTCCTTTCCATCCATGAGGATGTTCCTACTATGTTGTTTGTATGTATACTTAAATGAGCATCATTCAACAGATTGTGGCATACACTGGTTTTGTCTGACTTTTGATTACTTTTGAAATTTAAATACACACTGCTAGTTAAAGCCTGGGTTTGGTGCCAAAAAGTAATATATCTGATTAACTGGGAAGCATGACTTGATGAATATCTTTTATTGGTTGTTTGAAACTGATGTGCACTTTGAATTTTCTCCTCATTAGAGGCTGGTTCATCTTTGGACACTTGATACTGCTGAACGTGATGCATTTTTGGCAAATGAGGCAATTAAAAAGTGGACTCCAAGCAATCGGGTTCTGGTGGAAATATCCTGCGCTAGGTCCTCTGAACAATTGCTTGCTGTGAGGAGGTCTTATCATGCTCTTTATAAGAAGTCTATTGAGGAGGATGTTGCACATCACACAACAGGGGACTTCCGTAAGGTACTGATTCTTGACCCTAACCTTGTTATTTGTTGAGATAAACTTTTTAGATTCCTGTTTTATTGTTATGGATAGGATGATTTTGCATAATTTCCCCCGCCATGCTGGTTCTCAGGAGTGTTTTTTTGTCCGCAAATAAACTTGTAAAAACATGCAAAAAATACATAGGGTCTTCCCACTATTCCTTCATTGATTACATGCCATTAATGTTCCATGTGATTCATAAATACATGATAAACAAGAACATAATATTTCATTCCTCTTCTCTTACATGTAGTGTCATCCTCACTATATTTGGCCCCCACCCAATTCCACCTACCTATAATCCAACTGGATGCTAGTGTATCACCAAGTAGTTTTTGCTCCTGTCACAAGATGTAGAATCTTGAATCATATTTTTCCGAAGTTGAACTGAAATTTTAGTTTGTATCTATCAGGAAGAATTATTTTGGACACTAATTGTGGTTTTCTTTAATATACATTAGTTTTTCTCTCACTCTTTTTCACTTCAAATGAACAAAATTAGCTAACATTTGTTTTCTTTAGGTCCTACTACTTCTGGTTAGTTCTTATCGATATGAAGGAGAAGAAGTCAACTTGAACAGCGCAAAAACTGAGGCAAAATTACTGCATGACAAGATTTCAAAAAAGGCTTATAACGATGAAGACTTCATTAAGATTTTCGCTACAAGTAGCAGAGCACAGATTAATGCTGTTTTGAATCACTACAAAGACGAATTTGGAAAAGATATCAACAAGGTAACATGGCTCATTTTACTTTACTCTCGATTCCTTTTATGTTTCCTAAATTCCTTTCTTTCATCTCCCCTCTTATGACTCTTCAAGTATGTGTGAGAAAGAAACAATGTATTCAAGTGTTGCACCTTACTTTTTACTTAGCCTTGAAGTTTTGGCAGCACCCCATTTGTTTTATGGAACCTGATTAGACTGATGTGCACTTTGTGAGCCAATGTTGCATGGCAGGACCTGAAGGCTGCTGATCCAAAGAATGAGTTCCTGGCTTTACTAAGAGCAACTGTGAAGTGCTTGATCCATCCTGAGAAGTACTATGCGAAGGTTCTTCGTTTGGCTATCAACGGGCGAGGAACCAATGAAGGAGACCTTACAAGAGTGGTGGCCACAAGGGCCGAAGTTGATTTGAAAATTATAGGAGATGAGTATCAAAGGAGGAATAGTGTCGCTCTTGATCGAGCCATTGGCAAGGACACCAGTGGTGACTATGAGAAAATGCTTTTGGCGCTCTTAGGACAGGGTGATGCTTGATACATTCTTTTTGTGTTGCAGAGGTACTAAAGTATGCTGCTGTCTGATGGTTTAGTTTAGTAGTCCATGTTCATGTTTTGGACCATTATGTCTTCCTAAGTTGAATAAAATATACCACTTTGAAGCCCCCTTGAATTGAGTACCAAAGGTACTTGGAAGAGGAGGGATAGAAATGCTTCTCCTAGGGTAGCACTTACTTTATTTGTTCACACTCTTCCTTTTCCCTCACATTATTAAATAAAGGAAAATGCTCTCTTTTAATAGTATAATAATAATTTTAATTTATTTTTATTTTTATTAAATCATTCAATAGATTATTATATTAATAAAAATGAGTTGTTAAGAATTATATGGTTTTTTATTGTAAAAATATCAACACCCATTAAATATATCTATATCATTATAGAATTTCCTTCTTTATAATTCCTTTGTATCATCTTAAATTGATTTATATAACCTTTTATTAAATTGCATTATCTTTTATTAAATAAAAATAAAAATTAATAATTATATATAATTATTTATTTTATTTAAAATAATCATTCAATCTTTTCTATAAAAAATTAATTATTTAATAAAAATATAATTAATAATCACTTAAATAATTATTCATTTCATTTAAAATAATCACTAGTATAAATTCTTAATATTAAATCCCTTCACATTATTATATTAACTAATTTTTAAAATTAATATATATATATATATATATTTTATTTGAAAGTATATGTAAAGATAAATTAATATTAATATTAAATTTTAATTTATTAAAATAAAATAACATGCTTGCATGCAGACACATAGACGCTATTTCCATCAATGTAGATAAGATGGTACTATTAATCAGTATGGTTTCTTTATTTATATTCCGTACATTTAATCAGCTCAAACAATTATAAACTAAAGAAAATTTAAAGATAAATTAGTTTCAAAATCATCATATTTTCAATGACTAAAAATGTTCATGTAAGGGTGGGGATTATTCTTTAACAACAGTTTCCAAGTTTCTTCTTTTTTTTTTTTTTTTTATGTGGAAGGTGTTCAGTAATATATGGGTTTTTTCACCATGAGTTAAAAGTATTTACAATTTTGTTTTAATATATTTTTTTTAAAAGGGTTAAATAGTTTAAAAGAAATTAAAAATGTTTTTTTTTTCAACGAATTTAACGTAATTTTTTTTCTAACTAATCGTAGGACTCTTAGTATTAAGTACGACTTTAGTTTTTTTATAATTAAATTAATTTTATTAAATAAATATATTATTTAAAAAATTAATAGTTTATTTTATTTATTATTATATATTTATATTATAAAATATTATATTATTTTTTTTTATTTATATTAATTATTATATTATATAAATTTTGTATAAATAATAAAAGTAGAAAAAAATGATTTTAAATAGAAAATAAATATATTAATAATTTTTTTAAAATATAAATTATGATATATTATTTTTTTAAAACTAATAATATATATTTTTACAGTTTTTTAAATAAATTAAGTTTTTTAGAGTAATATATTATTTAAAAAAATTATAATTTTTTATTTTTTAATATAAATATATTTATATATATTTTAGAAGTTATACAATATTTATTAATTATTTATTTTATTTATACTAATTATTATTTTATATAAACTTTGTATAAATAGCATATAAATAATAAAATTAATATATATAATAAGATTATTATAAAATCAAATAATATATTTATTTAAAATATCATATTAATGATTTATTTTATATACATTTTCTAAATAATATTTATCTAGAAACTTAATTTAATTGTAAAAGAATTGTGAAAATATATATATATATATATATATATATATATATATATATATATATATTATTAATTTTGAGTGGATGGAGAAAATTCATTAAAGGTCTACTTATAAATTGAGTGGATGGTTTGAACTATAGTCATATATGGGAGTTTTACTCTTCGGGTGGGGAATATATTTACATTGTTTGTGACCTATAAAACTTAAATGATGTAAACAAATAATTTAAAAGAAACATAACATGTCTTTTACTTATTAGTATCGGTGTAACGATATTTTTACAATTCAATTTTTTTTATATTTATTAAATAATTTATTTTTAATTTTTATATTATAAATTATTTATCTTACTTTTTTCATCAATCAATAAAAATTAATATTTTAAAATTATTTATAGAATATTTAAAAAATTTGGATGTCAAAAAATCTTTTCCATAATTTTAATTTTTTTTTCAATACTTTCACCTTATTATTTAAGGATTTTCTTTTTCAAATATTTATTAATTTAACTTTACCGTTATATAATAGATAATAGCAATATTTAATAAAATTATTATTTTGAAAATTAGATTAAACTAATTGATTCAATTGGTCTAATCGACAATTAAAAATTGAAATTTTCCTTTTAAATAATTAAATTTTAACTAACTTAAAATAAAATTGAAAAAATCAACTCAATTTTTCATTCGAATCAATTTTGATAAAAAAATTATAATTATTTTTATATAATTTTTATAAAAGATATAATATATTTTAATTTTTTTATCTTTTTATTAATTACATCAATTATAAAAATTAATTATTCTATTATATTTTCATTTTATTTTAATAATTATCATGTTAAACTTTCTGTAATGTATTTTATATTTATGATATTCATTGTAATTTATGATAATCATACTTGTAATATTTATTATTATTTTTTAAAAATAGTATTATTAATAATTTTATTATATATTTTTTATATTATAAAAATATTATTTTATTAAATTCAATTAAAGTTCACTTTTAAATCTTAAAAATAAATCCAATTTTAAAAACATAAATCAACCAATGATGAAGATTAATTAAGTTTTTTTGTATATAAAAACCAAAATATTAATTTTTTATTATTTTATTATTTTTCTTATTTCTCTTCACTGATTTTCCCCACCCCTTTCCTTAACTGATTTCTCCTTCCCACAGACACACATTTTAACTTCTATTTCTCCTACCGGATATGTTAGCGATAAAGTATTTTTGATACTATTAGAAACATAGTCTATTTCTATGTAATATTTTTATTAATAATTATTTTTATTTTGTGATTAAATGTTAAAATTTAAGTTTTCTATATTTATATTATTATTATTATTATTATTATATTACGTAATAATTTTATTGACTTACGTAAACTTTTTGAAGAGATCTTAATTGATTTGAATAAAAATATTGATTAATTTTTATTTTTAAATACATGTCATTATGATTTAAACTTAAAAATTAAAAAAGAGAGAGTTGAGAAAGTTGATTAATAAAATAAAATAAAATAAAAATTTAATCAAATAATCAATGTTTATTATATATTTAGGGATATAGGATAACCCATCCTTTAATAAAAATGTTTTTTTTTTCATATGGTATTTTTCATCCTTTTGTTTCTTTTATATACTGGGCCTTTAGCCTTTAAAGAGTTGAATTTTATCCTTTTAAATGTCTAAAATTGTTCATTTTATATCCTTTCCATCACAGAGCTTACGGAGAAATATTAGAAGAATGTTACATGGTCGTTAAGTATACACATATACAATTGAGTCGTTTAATTATTTGTTGGTAATATTTTTTAAAAAAGAAAAACAATTGCTGTGGTTGTGTGGGCTAAAAGGAGGTTTTCTCCCCCAAATTCACATATTACTTCTGCCCCAAATTGAACAAATTAGATTCCAATATTAATTTTCTCTGTCCTTTTAATGTGCATGGTTGGATGCAAGTATAGGACAAGTTCTATATCAATATAACCTAAGGAGAAGGTTTTGTCAAACCTTTTATTATTAAGTACTCGAAGGTTGAAACTTTTCTTACAAAAAAGCTAGGGTTTCTTTGATTGATGAACCCTTTTCATTTGTAGCAATGGTTGGGTTAGGGTTGATGCATATGTGATGTGAACATGACCTATGATAAGGACTAGAGCAAGGGAAACAAAGAAGCTCTTCAACAAGTATTGTTGGTTGACCAAATTGTGTTTTGGATTAATCAATTAATGGGCTTTAGTTTGATTTTGTTTTAAGTTGTAATAAGGGCCCAATTGAAAATTTAGTCATCAGCCTTTGGGAGACCAAGAGATGCATAGCTGATTGACTTTTGGTTGCCACAGTTTCAGATACAATCAGTCATTAAGTAGTTTTCAATTCCTAGGTTAATGGATCTTTATTAGCCTTTATTTGTTTCCATTAAATAGTTTTCAATTCCTAGATTAATGGGTTATTATTAGTATTTATTTTCTTTTATTGAGCCTTTTGTAATTTTGATGACAACGCTTCTATATTAGCTGAACCATTCTTATCAAGAAATAACAAGTGAAATTTTATTCAAAAATATTAGAGTTTATCTTTTTTATCTTAGTGAGAGTGATTCTCCTAAATTCTTGAGTGATTCAAGAACCTTTGGCTATATCAAAGGACTGTCACATCCTTTGTGTGTTACGTCCCTTGGGAAGAGTGATTCTTTCCTTCCACCTTCTTTCTAATTCCTAAATTTCTTACAAGATTTTAACCCTAAAGATCTTAAATTACCCTTGTCATTCATATCAATATGGGTGTTATGGGCTAGGTGTTAGGAATGAATTTGTGTTGATGCATATGGTTGTTTGGGTTGACACATGTACTTGTATTTAACTTCATGAATTTTTGGTTGCATATGAATACGTGTTTTGTCTATGTTTAGCCTACCTACCTAGTACATGGGTATTATATTTTCTTCATATAAAAGAGTCCAATGGATAACTTTTTCAATCATTATTTTTCTTTTAAAAAATATATAATGATCATATGAAACTCTTCTCATGTTTCTGTCAACTAGATAATGAAAAGGATAAACAGAATTATTTTCAAAACATAAAGAAATTAAATTAATCTTTTGAAATTCAAAAATAAAAAATAAGTGAAAGGATTAAAAAAATATAATTTCGCTTAAATATATAGGTTCAGAACTTTTACTACTTTACAAGATGAATTTACAATATTTAGCGTATAAAAATTGCAATTTTTTTCCTGAAAATATATAAAAATTAAATAAAATCTTAAATATAATTCTTTTGCAAAAAGAAGCTTAAACAACCAGAATAGGACGCACCATGATAAATTTATTGAACATCCATTACAGAGAATCCATTAAAGGAAGAAATTATTCATAAGTTTAACCATTTTCGTCCCAACAAGAAGGCCATAAAATCTCCAAGTGCCCAAACTGGCAACAAAATATTATCAAAATAGAACATCCAGGAAAATCTACACATCATTCTACGTAGAAAACAGAGAATAACATCATATCTAGGATGTATCGTACATCACACATCCACAGCACAACAGAGTAATGCAGGATAAACCTGCATCTTATATGCATCTAGAAAACAAAACTTGCCTTCGGAGCTTTCAGAGCCTAGATCACATGGGAAGATCAGAGGGTAGCTCAAACTTGTTTCCGGTGGATTTGGCTCAGATTCTTAGACAGTCAAGTAGGCATACATACAACATATGCTGGTGGCCAAGGCATAATAGAAATATAAAACAAAGAGGGACTTAATTATGAGAAAAGTAGTAAAAGAACTCAAGAGAGAACAACAACATATCTTGTCTAGCTGCCCGATCACTTATTAAGTAGGTTCCTCGAGAAAATCCTCTTGCAATAAGGGTTGGTGCGCAAGATTTTGTGGGGTCGAACTGCTTCCACTAGAGATGTATGGAGAGAACCCTATTTCAGCAAAAAGATACCAGAAAAGAAACATCACATTACTGAAATGAATAGTAGAACATGATATTGACTTAGAACTATTAGTGAATGCGAGGAATGTTAGTAATACATGCTTTATTACTAATTAAAATTTCGAAAATGACACAATTTTGTGAGTTTCGCTTTTAATCAATTAGTCTATCTTATAATTTCATAATTTGTAATAAAATTCAACTCATAAAGTGGTATGATAAGTGTGATAAAAAATGTCCCATTTGCACTCTTGTGAGAAATTCATGAGGTACTTTGTTTTCCAACACACCGTTTACTACTCCCTATAATTCATGAGTTTTACTAAAGGAAGTGAGTCTCATTTTTTTTAGTCATTATGTTTCAAATTTTAATTAGTAACAGTAAATTAGGAAATGCATGATAAATGTTTTTTCTATTGTATATTATATTGAGTTCCAAACCTTGGTCACTCCCAGAGCACGTTGAACAACATAATTGGCATATGGGTCTGCTAATAACCGCTCAAAGTGAGGAAACGATAACATTTCTTGGACTATTCTGGACCTGCTCTCTGCAATATGCATGAGGCATTTTTCAACCACATGACTGCTAAATTTTTGCATGGAAAGGTTCACGTAATTCCCTTTGAATTGAGAATGCAGCTTGGATGAGGCACTTGATATCTCCATCTCTATAATATACTGAACAACGTAATTTCTACAATGCAACACATTGAAAAGGTTACTTTGAGAGACTGGTAGATTGCTATTTTAAAGTAATAAATAAACAATTAATCCAACATAACTAATCAAATAAAAACTATGGTTCAGAACGTGTTTTCAATGTTATGTTTATCTATGATTCGTGCATGTTGTCACATATGAAAGCTAACATATTAATACACATGGAAAAGAAATGAAGTTGATACACCTTGCAGCAGTTGGAAGAAAACAATATCCTAAGAACCAAATAGCAGAACAAACAAAATGAGAAGTTTGGCAAGGTTAGTAGAAATCCAATCTAGACCATTTTAAAAATTGGTTCATGTCAAAATTTTCTATTGTATTTGGAAATGTTTTAGCAAAGTTTCACTGAAACAAGTCATGTTTGTTTAGTAAAGTAATATACATTCTTTCTTTTGGAAGTAAGATATCTCCAGAAGAAATTTGAACTTTGTATATTTGAATTTATTCTAATCTAGGCCTTGGCATGACCTTGTACCTTCCAAAGGTCCCTAATTCTTAACAATCACATACGTAATTTTTCCTAGGAGCCCAACTTAACCCCATTTTGAATCAACCTCAAACCAACCCACAAAACTCTCAAATTTTTACAAATATTCAATTTAAGGATATGCACTAAATCTCTTCTTCACACAGTTAGAAGAAGAAAAAACTGTGAATACAAGCAAAAGGATTATGGAATGAAAAATTTATATGTATATTTCCAAATAGCTATAAAAATCTGGTAAAAAAAAATAAAAATACTACGTGTTATCCCACATTAAGCAATGAGAAGATTTATTAAATCCAAAGCTTCAAAACTTGTATTGTGGCATCCTAAATTTAGACCAACAAATAAGAAAGGCATAAATATCAATCCCGGATATTAAGCCTGGTTCAGTGATGAAATTTTAGAAGTAAAAAAGGCTATATATTAACAGGTACAAGGTCAGTCTAATTACCCAAATGGATCTTGAGCAAGAATAAGCCCATGTCTACATATTTCCTTTATCAGCTTATCTTGGTACTTTCCGATGGAGTAATCAATGCAACGTTGTAGTACACAACACCCATGTTCATGAGTAGCTATGTCGACACAGAAATTTGTAGCAGCATCAAAAATAAACTGCAATAAATAACACAGGGAAACAAGTATGATGAAACTTCATAACTAGTTTCAATCAAATCAGTAGGTTTAAGGGAGAATAATGATGGATCGGATGTTAAGGCACGTGAACAAGGTTGAGAATTTGCCAACCCACTATAAAATACATTTCTAGAAAGCTCTGAAATAGTATTTCCTTTATGTTTATACAACCATCTATCATAACCGTAACCATGATAGTTTACAACAAACTCCTGCCTCTGAACCAATTGAATTAGCATTGCAATTACACATTTCCATTAGATTCACCACTTTTCTCTAAATCTATCACCAGCGAACTATGTTTCTATCTCACTTGGTTACTTCAAAGAAAGCAACTTCACTCAAATTTATTCATAAAGAGATTGATAAACATAATTTTAAGTAACTTTTTAACAGGCCTTCACATAATAGACTACAACATGCAACCAGATTCAAAATATGCAAGACTACAATTATATCCTTTTGAACACGATTAAGATTTCTGGATATCTTCTCACAATACTTTTATAATTACGGATTTCAGAGTGCATTGAGTTTGCTTCTCTACCGTCACCTAAAACCCAAAAGGATTGGTCACTTTGCAAATACGTATGTTATATTTATCGTGCTATGTAATAAATAAAACAGTTGCAATTTAATGGCAACAAGTCAACTATTTTAAATTACTAGAGGATGGCACAAAACGAAAAGGCTCGCCCGATGCTAGAACTGTAACATTTTTAGGCTCGCGTCAATGGTCAATAGTCAGTACTTTCTTAACCAAAACATTATTTCACTAGCTTCTTATCTAGTAGCCTTTTGAGCATTCCTAATTAGGAAGGAAAAATAAAACAAATAAAAAACTATTCAGGCCAAGTAGATCATGCTTCACCATTATGGTCTTATGAGAGAACCCCCGAATTTTGTCACAGAGTTGACTTACCTTTCAGAAATTTCTGAAGTGACAAAGATAAACATGGGCTTCATTACAAATATGCAAATCCCGGACATTAAGTACAGATCAAACTAGTAACTGTTGAATAATGAAATTAGTTTGAAAATTAACAGAATTATGATGTAACATGGTAAGTACAACCATTATGAATCCTACCCTCTAATCATGAGATTTTGAAGTAGAGTGTGTAACTTATATTCCGAGATTACCATGCAAATAAAGAAAAAGTTCAACAAAGTGAAAGATTTTTGAGACACTTCTCCGAAATGTATTTAATCTAGTTGACAATGAAACAATTGATGTGTGAGGTACGAGAGCTCACACTACAAGAAGCTAAGACTTCACTTAATGAAACCATTTTTTGAGACTTTAATAAAACAGGAATGCCCTATGCTCTAAGTGGTGTTAATTAGAGGCCATTTTGTGCTATGATGTTGATGTCAATCAGGATCTGAAATGATTCTTCCATAGAACTTGTAGAACAAAATTTGAGATTGAACATAAAATCTCAATCGCTTGTTTTATTGTAAGTTTATTTTCCCTTCATTCACTGCATCGACACTATATTGAACTACAGTTCTTCCATATTGTTGAATTAAATGTAAGACGACAATCATTAGTTGTCCAATTGAAAAGTAAAACAAGAAGCAAAAGAGAGAAGTGTGTATACCTCATTATCGTTACAACTAAAGTATTGCAAGCAACGTTGTATAACATGATTTCCATTCAGATCCTTAATAAGATCAAGAAAATCAGGTTGAATGGCAGACCTCAGCATTGCAATTTGATTTCTAGAGTTGACAGTCGCAATCAACTTCTGAACCACCCGAGTCCTAATACAACAATACTATCAGTTCAACATGTCAAAGAGAAAAAGAAAACACGTGCATTATGATATAGAAAAATACAATGATGTTTTAGTTCAACGGGAGGATACATATACCCGTGTGTATTGAAAGAGGTTTTGACTAGTTGCCCTGGTTCTTTAGTCAACATTGACACAATCTGCAGCCTTTCATCTTCTGCACACACATCAATCAGCTTTTGCACAAGGTAATTCCCAAAAGGGTCCATCATAAGCTCAACAACATCATCTATAACTCCATTAAACACTATTTGTGCATCTTCAGAGGTGCCCTCATCAACCATCCTCTGTAAAAAACGGCAACCGTTCTGATCCTTTGCCAGGTGGTAAATGTAACCTTCGAACTTAACCAAAGGGCCAAAATTGAACAACAATGGCCTCGGAGAAAGAGAAACATCACTTGCAAGAGCGCCATTCTTTTCCTGTCTGGTAGGAACACGAGAAGAAATTAATTGAGGAACTTCATCTGCCACTGCGTGAGCTGGCGAAGGTAAACTCTCTCTGTAACCCCTCAAAGAATTGCACCCTCTACCACCAACACAACATATTACATCCTTCTCTTGCATGATAAAACCACCATCACATTGAAACGCCATAGGGTCCCCTCTAGAATGGGAAAATTCACCACTGGGGGCTACAACCACCCTTGTCGATGCTCTTTCTTTCACTGCAGGGAAAAAATGCCGCGATGGAGTGTTCACATTCATAGCAAGCTTGGGTTGTTGCATCATGGATTGACTTTGAGAGAGCATGAAAGGACTACTCACATCATAATCCATTGCAAAACCCCCTCTGGCAAGAATCGGGTTCGGCATTTGAAAGTTTCCATAACAAGTGCTCCTCCTTTGGTTAGACTCCACTGGGGGTCCAAAAGTGTGCCCCTTGACATCAGAAGAAGCCGTCACACCCCAAACAGACCATGGGGAACCCCTTTCTTCACCAACATGTGCATATCTATCCAAAGAATTACTAGGTGTTTGTGAGAGTGAGTGTGAGTTGGACTGTGAGTGTGGGAATGCATGTGTGTACCATGAGTCCATAACATCAACACCATATCCATGTCCATGTCCATGTCCTCTGGTTTTGTTTCCACCATTCCCTTGTTCATTTAAAATACTCATTCTAGCAAAATCATTAGACAACAACACATCAACATCATGGTTGTCGTTGATCATGTTGTTCTCGCCCCACATCGGGAAGGCGTTGGTGGAAGCAGTGGAAGGTTGTGGCATGAGGTTGGAATGGTGAAGATTAGGAAACCCGTTCAAACAAGCTCCAAACTCTTCGTTTCTCATGGCTTAGTTTTCGGATATTCTGATCATAGGGAAAAGAGAGAAGAGAAGGGGAATGGGAATAAAAAAGGGGGGGAGTGGACAGGTGTCAGTAGGTGGAAAACTGTAGGTAGTAGTGTGGTGTTTGAATCCACCAGTTTCGCGAGAACTTTTGATCTCTTTGTGAGAAAGTGAAGGAGCAAGAATCGCAGAAGGAGGTTTTTGATCTTCGATTGGGTTTGACAGAGTAGTGTGTGTAGAATAAGGTTGTGTGTGATAGTGTGTACGGTTCACACAAAATCGGCACTACACTGCACAAGAGCTTCTTTCGCACAACAGAGAGGTGTGTGTAGATGCAGGTGCAGGTGCAGGGCCATAACAACTTCTATTTTGTGCCATTTCAGAGACTATGTTTGTTTGTCTGTTAGGCTTTCAGCAAGAGCTGTTATTTTCACATTTTTTAAATTCTTCAATCATTTAATATCATTAGAGTTGTATTTTTTTTTAATAAAAAACTCTTATAATAATAAGTAATATTGTTTGTAAATTAATGCATGAAGAGAAAATAATAAAATGTTTTAATTCTTAAAATTAAAATCTTCAGTATTTTCAATCTTTAATAGGGACAGAAAGAAGCGTATTATTGATAGCATTTTAGTCTATACATCATTATGCGAAATATAAAATTATTAAAATTAAAAAAAAAGGTAAAAAATAAAAATAAAATGACATGGATTAACTAACGGTTTCTTGATATGAATAATGATAAAAGAAAATATATCAATGTTAGAAGTATAGATTATCTTTCATATAGTTACTTTTTCTTAATAAAATATTTAATATTGATCAATTCAAATCAAGATATTAGGCATTTACTCTTCTAAACTCAAATATAAATTGAAAAAATATTGACATTTTTTTTATGAAGTTATGTAATTAAAATATAATATAAGTGGTTTTAATTATATCTTTATCATTAATTGAACATAAATACTAAAAAAATAGAGATTAGGTGTGATATTTTGTATAAAAGAAAAGTATTTAAAATGTATTTTTAAATTAAAATATATGTAAAAATTGAATTTTTACATATTTATGTATTTTTTAACAATGCCGTACAAATATTAATCAACAAATTTTGTATATGAAATTAGTAAACATAGATTCCAGGTATTATTTTGTAATAAATGTATTAAACGATTATAGTTAAATTATTTATTAATATAAACATTTTAACCTCATAATTTAAATATTAATCAACTATATTTTTTAATGATTTTATTGAAAATAGTTTTGCACCATTTCTAACTAAAATTGATTGTACAAGACTTCAAAAAAATAAATGTTAGTTTTAATTATGTATATTTGTCATTCCTTTAATATAGAGGTACGAAATTTTTTAAAATATTTTTAAAGAAATACATTTATGATAATTATTTTAATTACAATCTGGTATAATTGTCTTAAATGTGTGTTTAGTTTTTTTTTTTAATGAGGGAACCATTTTTTTTTTTAATGAGGGAACCATAAGATGAGAGATGAAGAGTTAGAAGAATGAGATAGAAATTGGGTTAAAGAATGATATTAAAGTAAATAAATATATGATTATAAATAACAAAATAATAAACAGTAAGCAATAAAAAATAAATAAAAACAAAATCGCCCACCGTGGGGCTCGAACCCACGACCACAAGGTTAAGAGCCTTGCGCTCTACCAACTGAGCTAGACGGGCAGATATTTATAAACTTACATAGTAAAATTTTATTTACTGTTTACTCACAAAGAACTAATAAATTATTTCTAACTTTCTTTTCTACATGTTTTTTTTTTCTTTTAAAAGTGAGTTAAGTCTTTCAAATTCATTATGTTTATTTAGGATATGTTTAAATATTTAATAAACAATTATAGAGGCACTTATATATTTGTTAATGTATGATTATATCCTAGTAAGATTATCATATATGTTAAAAAATTCAAACTTATATCCTTATGAAATATGAAATTATATCTTTATCAACTGAATAAACTTTAATTAGCTTCTGTATACGGAACTTTGTACATACTCTGAATTGATAGTTTTCAATAAAATATTAAATAATATATTTCAATTGTTCTCTCTAACTTTATTGAAATTATGGTACATTTAATGAAATTAAGAACTATAATATGATTTAAATTACATTTAAAAAATAACTTTTATAATATAAATAAAAAAATTCTAAAAATAAAATATCTAAAACCACAAATAAAAGTGTTAAAGCAGTTCTAAAACAAAATTTATACTTAAACCACCAATATAAATTTAATAAAACAATTTTAAAATAATTAACCGGGGTTAAAATATGAATACTTTTCATAGATTTAAACATAATATTATATTAGTTTTAATAATATTAAAATTTTAAAAAAATATTTAAATATTTCCAAAATTAAAATATTTCTAAATTTTAATCCATCTATTCCTAATATTGCTTGTATACAAAAAAATTTGGATCCGCCTATGCACAAAAGTTGAAAAATAGACCATTGGTTGGATAATAAATATAATAATATAATAATATAATCTTATATTATATCACATTCATTGTTATTTATTACACCATTTATTCACAAATTTTAATCATTTTTAAAATTAAATTCCTATTATAAATAAATTGTTATATGTAAAAGCTGTTATAAATTTCCTATTTTAAAAACTATATACTATTTAAGAAAAATCTAAAATATTAGATATAGAACAGTTAAAATTGACAAGTCCAGTCCAACCTAATCTGATCATATGTAAAAAAATTTAATGGCCAATTTGACTTATATTTTAAATTAAAATTTTAACTTTAAAACACATATCAGTATTTGTCGCACATCCATCACCATGAAGGAACGAAAGGAAATAGAAATAATAATAAAAAAAACGAGAGAGAAAATGAGAGTTGTGACAGAAAAGAAAAGGAAAAAGAAGAAATAGGTAAAATGCAACATTCTTGTATTAGCATCACATGTTTATTATGAAGTAAAAAAAATTACTAATATTGAGATGTTCTTTCGAAAGTAATTATTGTTTTTTAAATCAGGACTTCTCATCTTCAATTTTAAATTCAAATTCAAATTTTAATATTAATTTATTTTAATTCTTAGTCGATACTTTAACATTTTAAAATTAATTTTGTTTTTTTTTATCTTTGTGAATAAATTTTTTTAGATATGTTTAATTTATATTTTCAAAATCTTCCTTAATAGATGTTTTCTACTTTTCCTCTTTCATTATGGGAAAGACTATTAAAACCAAGAGACAGTTATTTTAAATTATGATGTTGTATTCATATTATTTACATTTCTAGAAATATTATAACCATATTACAAACAAACATGTTTGGCTAGCTTTTCACATTCTGAGAAATACTTTTACATTTAAAAATAATTTAGAAATAGAATTGAGGTCATTTCCTAAATTCTTGGGGAAATAACTGTATACATATGAGAACTTTTTTATTTTTAAATAAAGATTTATTTTATAATTTTTTTAACAAATATGAAATATATATTTCTACTTTTATATTCTGTTGATTTCAAGAATAAAAAAGTAATCGTACCAATGAGTAATATACATTCTTACGAGATGAAAGTTACTTTGTATATTATTCCATTTTTTCAAATTGCTAAATAACAGTGAAGCATATTCATAAAAATAACATTTTCAGATATTAATATTCTTGATAATTTAGTTTCTTAAAATATAGTTATGTACACCGATACAAACCCTATCTAATATTTTAGGTGTGTGTCTTGTGTAGGACAAATGCATATTTATAATGAGTAACCTTGTATTTTCTTGCAAATCTTTTCACCATCTTTAGTAGGAATTTGTTAATCAATAAATAAAAATATTTAAGAACTCCCCAGTACAATATACATTAGGAATATAATATCTTTTAGGCCAATATAATATACACAGATATTTGAAATTGGTCTCAAGAACTCCTCAGGATTTGACTTGCTGAGGGAATTCACACCACACTTGATATTCACGAAATTAAAATGTCAATTACATTAATCAAAACAAATAAATCTATATTCATTGTTATCCAGCCTATTACAGTTTACAAAAGAGTGGAAGTTCAAAACTATGAATGCTTATACAGTTACAACTGTCCATGTATTCAAGCACAAAAATTGATCAAAATGTAGTTCTGAAAAATTCGTCACACCATGTAGTATATACCTGAAACCCGTCTCTCTTGGGACATAAAATCTCATTTGGCTGTACTGAATACCTGCTAAAATTGTGATGTGTTTGTTTTACTATTCTTTGGAAAATGTCATCTACCGGTAGAGTAATGTGTTTTCTTCACCATCATAATCTGCAATAGACAATTCTTCTGGCTCAAACTCTTTATCCATGGCTAAACCACCTGATTCAATTAATTGCATCTCTGATTCAATTAAAGCCTCCATCTTAGCTCGCTCCCTGTCTCTTGGATATGTTCTATAAAGTAATGTGTAGATTATACAGCAGAGAGCCATTGGGATTCCTATTGCTGTGTAAAGAGACTTGGCCAATGACGCAGCATTCTCTCTGTCTGTTAAAATCTCTTGAGACTCACTGGACCCTTCAGGAATGGGCTTATACCCATAAACATGCTGAGCCAAAATCCCCACTGCAGGGGGAGCAAAAGATGACAGTATAGACTCAAAAGATCTGTCCAAGGCATATACACTAGTTCGGGATCTCTCTGGAACTATCTCTGCAAAAATTGGACTAATGTCCATAAAGTGGACAAATTAACCCATGAATATAAACATAACTTGAATAATCTTTTCCACAATCACAGCTGTCTTTTTTCAGCTCTAGATCACAACAGAAGCAATAAACTATGTTATGTTTACCACTCTCTTTCTGCCATAGGCACATGAAGAATTGTTTGCACTAAAGTAAATAAAAGCCTGTTCGGGATATGTACAAAACCAAAAGAAAATTCAATAATATTTCAGAAAGTGAATTGAAAGCAAATTTGAAAACGTTGAAATTATTTGGCAGTTGAGTATTGAGGGCTAATTGAAGGTGCCTATTAATAACCATACTACACGTCAGTTTACTTCATTTTGTAAGCAGGTTTAAGATGAAAATCGTTCCAAGTTAAGGCGCTACAAGCCTAGAAAGTAGAGAGGACGTTATGTCTACCTACAAGTGTTTAACCAATCAGCAATGTAGAGTAACATTGAATAATATAAAAGCTTTATGAATCATCTAACAAAAGATGGAAGGTGTGAAAGATATTTTCAGAATGTTTATAGAAAAAAATGATTAAGATAACAAACAAACTAAAGGTTAGTTTGAGATATGTACTTATTTGTAGCTGGAGCGTTCCAAGATATCAAGAGTCCCATAATAATTAGAACAAAACCATGAGATATTATTGTGGATGGATCATCTGGCAAACCGAGCAAAAGAAGTGCTGCTAAGGGGATTGCTGATCCAGAGCTTATCTGTGCCAAAATTATCCTCCCAGAATTTGGAAGATGCTTGGAGAGAATATCTCCCATCTTACCTCCAAACAATCCCCCAATAGAACTGGCAACCACAAACAGAGCTATGAGGAAAGCAGTTTTCTTGTGGGAGAAGCCAGTAAGCTCTAACCACATTGGTGCGAATGATAAAGCAGACCAGGGAAAGGAGCCAGTGACACCCTGTGCAACAATAATCTGGAAAGACGAAATCTTCAAAACTGACTTGGACTCCTGAACCAGATCTTTCACTTCAGACCAAAATGTTTTATTTGGAGCTAGCCTTCTATCATTTGTACCATTATTTGAGAAGTGTGGATCGTTGGCAAAGAGGTATACTAAAACACCTACGATAATGCTTATTAATGCAACAATGTGAAAGGAAATTCTCCAACCAGGGATTCCAAACACTGTTATTGGAGCTATCAAAACTGATAAGAGGCCGCCAATAATTGAACCAACATTGCCTGTTAGTTGAAGCCATCCAAAAGCCATGCCACGATTGCTATCATCAGTTGAATCAGCAACAAGAGATTGGATTGCAGGTGCTACAAGCGCAAGGCCAATACCATTAAATGCTCGTGATAAAGCTACCTAAAATACAATGACTTCAAAGTTCAAAGTGAATACAATCAGCCATATACCTACAATAGCATAACAGTTATATATACTGACATTGATTCAAGAACTTCATACGCTTGCCTACAACGGCCTAGTACAAAGGAAAAATGCCAATGAAAAAAACATGCTTTAGGAAATAGTCTTGAATACTATTTATTTTTTAAGGCAAAGAGGTATGCAATGCCATCACAAAATAACTAGGTTGGCACCGGAGACATAGTCTTGAATACTAATTTCATATACATTTTTTGAAGCACACCTTAGTGTAATAAAACAAATTCTCATCTTTTATTATGTTCTTCTTATCTTGTAACATGTAAAAATATGGTTTGACAATCTTACCTTTCACCTTCACCTTAAATAGTACCAAACCACTTGGTTTTACTTATTTTCTCACAAACAGAGCTGTCATACAGTTATCAATTATTTAGAATTCTGGTAGCAAAGTATAACAAAAGAAAAATTACAAGGTGATATTCACATCTCGATGTTATTTACCAGAAGTTTGAGGATTACAGTCTAGACTAACTTCCATTCACGTGGAAAAACTGAATTAACAAAAGACAAGCTAAAATTATCTCCGATTCTGTTTTGATAATTTTTTCTATGTTGATAATTTTTTCTATGAACAATCGCAAAAAAGGTAAAATAAATTAAACGTCTCCCTTTAACTAAAATAACCTTATGCACTTCTTATCTAACTTATTAAAGAGTATAAGCTAATTTCAATTTGTTAAAAGAAGTAACCTCCTTTTCTTCTATCAATCTTTTTATCCAAAACAAGGCCTTGTCTACTTCCATTTCCGAGACCGACAAACCTAAATTGGTCCCTCCAAGTAATAACAATAGTTGATAAGATATTAAAGAAAACTTCTTATGCATCTAAGTTTAATTGTTGTTGAAAGACCTCAGATTGCTGATTCTACTACCCTCACTATCTCTAATTTAGAAACACTCTTCCCGTCCCTATCAATTAAAGAGTTGAACTTATATCGTAAGAAACGGCAGTGACCTCGAAAAACGTGGAGGAGAAAGCAACGAGGAAGGTAGCGGCGGCCCAGAGGAAAGCGCCTAGGGCGATGACGTGGGCGCGGTTATGGCGGACGGCGAGGTAGGCGGCAATGGGGTAGCACAAGGATTGAACGATGGATCGGAAGAGAGTGAGGGAACCGAGGCCGGTGGGGTCGGTATGGAGCGCCGCTCCCACTTCCTTGTACACTCCCGGAAGCAGTGACTCATCCGCCCTCTCCATTATCCCCGCCAGGTTCACCAGCACCAGCGTCGCCGTCTCTCCCTTCATCTCCTCCACTTCACAATTCACAAACACAAACTATGCATCGTTCTATTCATTCTAGTTCTGAATAAAACGATGACGATGACTATGATGTCAGTTACTACTCGTTACACGGTTTCTTCTTGACTCGTCGTCGCTGTCCCAAGTTCCACCCTGACCTAACGCAAGGTTGGAATTAAACTTCAGTGCCACGTGGCTGTGCATCAATGTGACAGCAAGGCGTTTCTGGGGTACGTGTAAGAGGCGCAGAATGACTAGGCAGAGTTGGTCAGTCCTTCGCAACTTTATTCCCCGGAATCATTCTTTATTCTTTTTTTTTTTCTCTCACATACTCTTTGGTTTTTTTTTTCCTTATAAAATTTCATGCGCAAAGCTTCTTCTTCTCCCGGGGCCGGGTAATGGTTTGCCATGGGCCTCACTATGACCGGGAAAGCCCAGTAAGCCGAGGCCCAGGTGAGATGTTGAAGAATTAGGCGGATCAGGAAACACCAATTTTTTATTTCTTCAAGTAATAAATTTACATGAAGCTTGATACCTATTAAAAAGAGTCATGTTTGAAAATAAGTTTTTAAGAGAACTAATGGGTGTTTGTTTCCAAATTTATGCATGTTTTTTCAAGTTGTTGTTCTCAAACACTCTTGTAACTTAGTCTTAGTTGCAAATACTCGAACTAATTAGTCTTGCTCTTAAAATCAAACATAAAATTTCAATCTTCTCTTGATAATTGTTCTATTCTTTTTATAAATATTACTAGACATCTTCAAATCAATAAAATATACGCATACATTCAAACATATTATAAAATATAAAACTTATAAAAATATATAATTCTTCCCCTTCTTTTTTTATATATTTTTATACCAATACATAAAAATATAATTAGTATACACATTTTGCTATATAATTTAATCTTTATTGTTGTTGTAGTAATTACTTTTACGCGACGAGATATATATAATTTTAAATATGTGTAAACTCTAAAATAATAAAAAGAGTGTTATTGAAGCCATCCCACTTGATCAGGTCCAGAAATTGTCTAGACTCTAGATGCCTACTAAATTTTGAAGCATTAGACATAGGCATCTTATCCGACATGCGATGCTTTTTGAAATAGCTTTTATTAATTAACCTTTTTTTTAAACTAAAATTGATTATTGAAAATTGCGCAACCATTGTAATTCATACATGAGAGACTTAATGAAGGAACAAGATATTAGGAAAAGTGGTAACACTTTGACTTTATTAAGGAACAAGTATTAGGAAAAGATGCAGGTATGTATAGTTGAAGTATGATAAGTGGGGTACAAGTGGGGTTTGGAAAAGCATTCCGGGTTGGTTGGGGGCTGACAAAGATAATGTCTTTGATCTTGCTGTCTGAGATGGCTTCGGATGCTGATGAAGTCATGAATTCAAAATCTGTTTTATAATGTTTTTAAAACCAGTGTTATTTCAGAAAAAATATCCAGGTTTGTGTTCAAAGCTTAAGAAATGTGTCTGATAAATGTTACCAACGTAAAACCATTGGGTCGAGATGGCGGGACAGTAAACAGGAAAAACGGTGAAAAGTGGATGCTTTCTCTGACTACAAAATTATTAGTCTTCCCCACTTTAATTTTAATTAAACCTCTTGCTTCTCTCCTTCTTTCTTTAACCTTCTATCTTTATATTAAAATAGTTTATTTTAAAAAATAATTATTTACTTAATACTTTTTCCTTCCTAATATATATACTACTACTACTACAACCTATAAAACAAAAATGTACATCTAAACTTAGTGGTGTACATGTTTGGTTCATATATTTTGTAAAATTCATAATTGTTGGTTCATTAATTTTCTTCTTACACAATTTTATTCTATATATTTTATAAATTCCGTAATTTTGATTCTGATTTTTTTACGTAATTTTAATTATTATATTTGGTTAAATGTGTACTTTTGACTATTTCTGATAACTTGAATACTAAACTAATATATATTTAATTTATTGAATTGTAAAAAATAATATTCAAGAGTTATATATTTGTTTAGGTATAACTATTGTTGTTTCTTTTCTGAGTGATTTACTATGATTTTCTTCCTTTTTCATTCGGATGAACTGTTTTTAAAACTTAAAAGAAAAGTTAAATAAAATGTTTTAAAATGCATTTTATTTAGCTGCACAGTAAATTATTTTTAAATAAAAATGTGGCTTTTAATATACCCTGATGAATAGCTTTTAATTGAGGTTAGGCATAACAAGGTTTTTTGGTCAAAAAACATGTATAAACCACTCTATTAATATAGTATTGTGCAACAGCAAGAATATTTTATCATCATTAATTTGTTACATTAAATATATTTAATGTAATGCATAATCCACACCTACTGTCTTAATTATTTAAAAATGAAACTAAAGTAACTTTTTGATAAGTCAAACAAAACAATTTTACATACAAATTCATTAGGCAGTATTTTGACTTTGAAAATTTATTTGTGTTTCAAATCTAAATCACACTAATTCAAAGTATACACGCAAAAGAAAATTAACTTAGAAGGGAATTTCATACTCTAAATGCAAATTGAATACTCCATGATTTGGAGTTGTTGGTGGAAAGTTCTACCTAGCTCAAAAGCATTTAATAAAATTAGAGAATACCATATTCTATTTAATTCGAAAAAGTAATTTATTTTATTTTATTTAGAGAATATCCTAGAAGCTTCTTATGGGTAAAGAAGTTTAAGATAAATAAATATTTTTAAAAATATATTAAATTAAAATTACAAAGAATTTTGAAAATATTTAATTTTATATTCATAGGAAAAAAAGGTAATTTTAAATGTTAGTTCCGGTTTATAGCTTCTAATAAAAAAAATTCTTCTTAATGGTAGAAGTTTTAAAAGGGCTAATTACACCCCACTAGTTCAATAGGATCGTTGACTAAGACTAAGTGAAAATATGTGATTTATAATTTTACATCAACAAAATATGCTTGTTCCCAGTAATAATAATGTATTTATAATTTTTTTCAGGTGTTTGCAGTGTAGGAAAAGTATTTTTATTTTAATTATCATTGAATGTATACAATACCATTTATAATAATACAAATTTGGTTGAAATAAAATATAATACACGCACAAAGTTGATATGGTATGACATAAAATAAAAATTTCTATGAGTATTCTACATATATTGATTAAGTTTCCTCGTGATTTTGTGGTTTATAAATATACTGAAACTTTCTAAAGAAAATTTATTGTCATATACTAAAAAAAAAAGGAAAAAATGACATTATCAAATTTCTAATTTTATTTTAATATATTATTAACGACTATATTTTATACTATCAAGTATATCTTGTGGATAAAATCATTTCAGGCATAATTTATAACACAACCATTACAAAACTAATATTTATAATTAAATAAATATTAAAATATATATATATATATATATATATATATATATATATATATATAAACAACTTTCCTTAGCCCAAAGTTTAATAAAAAAAACAAACTAAAAAAACAGAGGAGTAGAATACACATAATTATTGCTATTATTTTTTTAATTTAATTAATTTTTCGTAACATATTTTAAATAATATTTCTTCTCGATAGTTTAGAAGAAATTGATAATTCCTTTTTATAAGAAGCATTGGTTTTTTATTGATTTGAATTAAATATTGTGAATATGACTGTTTTTATTAATAAACAATGAGAAAAAATAAAAATAATTAATAAAACAAGAATAAATGTATTATATTGATAAAACTATTTTAAAAATTTGACAAAATCAATATAGAGTTAATTATAATTTTATTAATATGTGTAATTACATTAGAAGTATGCAGTATAAAATTGTGAATGTTTTAATTGTATTAAAAGATATAGTGAGGGGTAATAATTAGTGCATGAGAAAAAAAAAAAAAAAAAAAAAAAAAAGAGTGAAGCAATTCCCAAACCACTTTCTGGTGTGGAAGTGAGTTAAAAGTCCAAAACGACAACAATCGAATCACAACATGGGAAGAGGAGAGAAAATAGAAAAAAAAGAAAAGGTTATAAATTTGTAACCCAATAAGATGCTTGGTTTTGAAAATTGATAGATAGAGGACAAAATGAAAAGGGGGAGGGGCACATGTGCCTACTACTTATGCCCCCTTATGCTTATTTCACAGAGGAGAGGCATAGAGAGAAGGAAATGGTGAAAGAGTGAGATGCAATTAGTATGAATTCAGCATGTGTTGATTGCAGTGTCACTCACTCTTACACAACATGACACTGAAAACTGAGAACAACAGAACACAGTACTGCATAGAAGAAATTGGGGGAGAAAGTTGGAGGAGGGTAGGGGGGATCATCATTGCAAGACACCAGATTATTCTCTGGCATGGACCACCATGATTCCAATAGGGCAAGACTCACATGTCACCAAATCCTCTCACTCTGTCCTATTCTTTCATATTCCCCTACCCTCATTATAATCCCTTCTTATCATCATCATCATCATTCTTTAATATCCCTTTTCTTTTCTCATTTCCAACTCCTCTCATCTAATTAATGCAAACATTTCTTTTTAACATTCTCTTTACTTTTATAAAAACTAATTATCTCCTTCCCTCTAAATTTGGGTTTCTCTCTTTTAATTCACAAGTCGTCCACTAGGGTTCCAACAGGTTGGAAGATAACATATGCTTAGCACCCACTAATATCACAATCATATTATGTATCCATTAATCCAAACTAACTTAAAAATAGTTTTTTTTTTTATTCTTTTTCCGTTCTCCGAGGAAAAGAAAAACACGAGGGCGTGTGTGGATCACGATCCTTGAGGTTTATTTACACTCTGCCAATCATACCTGATTGTTATGCGTTGCATTGCATCTTCGTACTCTTTATTGTTTGTCTATTTATGGTATCCCTAAGTGTTGTAGCATTATTTAACTCATAACTTCGTTTGTACACGATGATAATAGCATTAAGGGGCCACAAAAACACACATAATATTGAACTGTGTCATCAAGAAATTCTTCAATGCATTTGCGAGATTTTCCGTTATTGACAATGGCCATGCCTGGCACATGTGCTAGTGGCAGATGTTAAGACAATTCTAAATTATATGGTTTTGTATGGCGAGAACTATGGCAAAAGGTCAAATTTTGAGATTATAATGACCTCTATTTTGTAACAACTCTGAGAGGTGTTATTTTGACAACAAAAAACTATACAACTTCTCAAACAACTCACTTTTATTAATATAATAATCTATAAAATCATTTAATAAAAATAAAAATAAAATAAAATTATTATTATAATATTAAAAGAGAGTTATTTATAAGAGTTGTATGGATTTAGGTTGTCAAAGTATCATTTTCTTTCAACAAAAGTAAAGTAAGCCATGAAGAAGACAAAAACAAGTCTTTGTCTATGCATGTCATTATCCATCTAGATTAAGCTAAGTAACTTGTTTTGAGGGAAATCATTTTATAAGCATAAATTTGTACTATTCTTTTTATTGCTAGAAGTTTACCACCTATTGCTCCAATGAACAAGTTATATGAATGACATGTCTTTGAGGTTAACATTTCTTTTTTGTTTTGTACATTTGTCAAAAACTAGAAAACCTATATTAGTTAAAGACGACCACAATTTTTATCAAAAAAGTACTGTTAATCCTTAACCGAACCCTTTTTTAGTTTTTTTTTTCTTTGTGCATCATGATTCTCTTAATACTAAAGACTAAATTTGTCCCTCGATGATTTCAAATACAAAAAACGACGTGACAATTTCTGGATGTCGTTATACATACGGATTGGAATGAAAATGTCTTCCTACAGAAAAATTGTATAAACCAGTTTTGCAATCATATGAACATGCTCTTTGATAATGAAATCACATGATTTCACATTGATGGTTTATATTTCATATGGATGACAATTTATAATATTTTTTCTTTTGGGAAATTAAAATTTTACGTGCAAAAGTTATTAGGTTGTGATATGCAAAACCACTGCAATAATTGTAGGTCTAGCAGTTTTGAAGGGCATGGATGAAGTTTTATAATTGTGGTTTGGCAGGTAAAGGAAGCCACTAATCTTGCCACCAATTGCTCCACAAGCAAATATCATTCATTGTTGAAAAGTAAGACAAAATACATTGAATCAAGGAAAGAGTAGCAACACAAGAACGTACGATGGAATATATCTTTCATCTATTAATGGAATATTTTTCCTGAGAAATATCTCTCGTTTGTAATGAAATCTGAAAAGTGGCACAAAGCCACCGCGTAATGGAATTTAAAATATTCTTCATCAATTAAAATTTGAGTTTTATTTTAATAATTAATTTCAATTTAACGTTAACTTGTATTTAATGTCTGTTTGATGTAAAATTTGAGTTTCAATTAGAAAATAACATGAAAACATTCAAAACCTTGATTTTAAGTTTTATTCATTAAAAAAAAAAACAGAAAAAGCAAATCCAAGGCATTGACCGGATCAGAGTTATGGTCAAATTTAGTTATCTTCTTCCAAAGGTAAAAAAGATTCAATGTACAGTTCAAATGTAGATTCAGTCTCCATAATTGTGATTTATTCAAAATTCTGTATATATTAAATAAACTCGGCATCAATAATATAACAAGTTAAATTATGTTTTCAGGAACTAATACTCAATAGTAAAGATAAAAATAAAATGACTGAGATTCAAGCTTACTTAAAATTTAATCATAGTATATTATTTGTCAAGACAGGTTAACATATTCCAAACTTACAGGCATGACGGAAAGCAAAGCTATTTTTAAATAATTCCTTATGCACAATATTTTGTATATAGAAAAAGAGATAAGGATATAGAAAAGAACATAAATAAGATAATATTAATAACATAAGAATTATTATAGGAAAAACACAGCCACATACTGTTAGCAATAAATCATGTCACGTAACTAATAGTAGTGCAAGAAAGTAGACATTTTTTGCATTAATTTTCATTACCCTTACGTCAAAAAAGATCACAGTGGGATTACGAAGCATTGAACATTCAACAAAACCCGGAAGATTTCACATTGCAGGGCCACATAAGGGGTATAATTAGAAACAGAAGAGAATGAAAGACGAAGACAAAAGTTGGGTACAAACCATTGGAAAATTTCAGATTTGGACAACAAAGACAATGAGAGATTGCACCCAACCTTTCAACCTTGGGACAGTAACTAGAACCCGAAATACAAGGAGCGTTCTCAGCAACATGAACCTGAAACTTTGCAAAATGCAAACACAATCTCGCACTACTTCTTTCTTTCTCTCTCCTTTTAATCGATGATGCTCCTTAGTTGATGGCAGCACTCAGCCACTAACCGACTTATCTATTTATGAATAGTATGCTTCTTAATGTTTTCTAATACCAAGCACTTGACAAGGGTTCGTACGAGGAACAGTTTTTCTTATTATTGGGGATTTTAGCCGCAGATTCGCTTTACCATTAAACTATTCTAAACTATGGATTCCCATTGATCATAATAATAACCTACTCTACAGTCATACTTCCATAGCATAAAATTATCACCACCCACCCTTGTAATTATCATCATCAGTATCAAGATCAAATGCTAATCAAAATTCAATCATATGCTACAACATGCTACCATCATATTTCTGCAATAACATTAACATCATTTGGTCATCATCGATTGTATATATATTAAGGAAGTATATATTTAATTTACACATATATCATACATGATTAAATTAATCTCATACCGGCGACTACTGAATTTTTTTTACAATATCAAAATATTTAAGCAAAAAGGGCGAGAAAAAGAAGAAAAAAAAAAAAAAAAAAGGTAAGGAAAAGAAAAGAAGAAAGATGTTAGCTGCAAATTCTAACCACCAACACCCACTATCATCAACATCATCATGATCATGATCTTAATTCATTGCAGCATCATATTCTACCATGTAATGATAACAAGTTTCTGTACCGGTTTAGTCTAATCAGAAGAACAAATCCAGGAATCCACGGTACCTTCCCCTCTAGTAGTAGGGTTATTATTGTTGCTATTATTCTGTAAGGTGCTCTTCTCATGGTTCAAGCTAGTGGACGCAGAAGCCACAGAAAAGTTCAACTTGCAGCTACCACCACCATCGAATGACCTTAACGAAACATCTCTTGTTCCTCCTCCATCGTCGTTAACACTCCTCAGTGGCATCGACACCCCACTTGCTACAAAATTTGCATTATTATTAACCTGACCATGGCTCATGCCCAGATCCTCAATTGATGGTAACTTTGCACCAAACCCTGCATGGCCGAAAGGGTGAAGAGGGAGTGGAGGGTGGTGAAATGCAAGATTGGGGTGGTTCTGCATGCTCAGCATGATATTTTGTTGGTTATGATGATAGGGTAAACCCAAATCAGGAGGAAGTTGTTGGTAGTTAATGGGGTTGTTGCTGTTATTGGACGAGGAATTGTTGGTGGTGGTAGTGGAAGCTATAGCATCAACCATGTTATTATAAGGTGATGATGAGGAAGATACAAGCAATGGGTTTTGATGATGTTGATGATGATGGTGTACCTTTTGTGGCGAAGGACGCAAAGGATAGAAAGGACCCGTTGTTGTGTCCAAGTGAGAGCTGCTTCTCAAGGAGGATGAGCCAGTTAGAAGATCGAGCCTCCTAGAGTACGAGGAAGAAGCCGAAAACGGTGGTGCAGGGATTCCGGTGAACTCTTGAACCATGGCTCTGAAATTAGAAGTGTCCGTGGTGAGAACCGTTGTTGGTGCTCTCCTTGAAGCCCTGGTTCGCTTCTTTGAGTTGCGCCCAACGTTATTAACCGTTCTACCTGGTTCGAGCAAGACTGCCTCTTGTGACCTCGCATTGTATGTGGGGAGGCCTACTTGAGGACCCAACAAGCATTGGTTTATGTTTGTTGTTGTTTGTGGTGACGAGGTGACGTTAATGTTAACGTTAACCCCTGAAGGGTCGGTGCAATCGGGTTCAGATCTTCGAGGTTGGGAGGATGATGACGTGGCGGTGTCCAAGTGTAGGAAGGAGTTTGGGTTGGAGGAGTTGTGTTGAGAAAGGGCGTGGAGGTAGCTTGAAGAGAGATCAAACAAAGAGGGTTGAGGGTGGTGGTGCTGGTAATGAGAAGAAGAAACAAGAGGGTGTGAGATGGAGCCGAATTGGGAAGGGTGGTTATTAAGAAAGGTTGGAGGGAGCACTGTGTGATCAGGTCGTGAATCGTATTCTTCGTCGCCACTTGAAGAGATACTTCCACTATTGCCAGAATCCATAGCTTGCAAATTAAGCAAAAGTGGGGAAGAAAGGAAAAAAGAAGGAGAAGTGGTGAGAGGAATTGAAAAGGGAAAAGGTTATGGTAGGAAGAGAGAGGACCTTAACACAAGAGTGGTGGCGCAGCTGGGAAGGTTAATAAGCTAGATATCGATGATGATGAGGAGGATGCAGATGAAGGAATGAACTGTGTTTGAGTGAGTGGGAAAAATAAGAAACACTAAAGAGGCCTTTTGAAAAAAGGGAAGCGTATCTTTGGATGGAATCCCTGATCTGCACTGCAATGGAAGCAAATCTTTTCTTGCTTGTCTTTCAGTCGGGGGAAAAGGGTTATTGTTTTCTATAAAAAGAAGAGAAAAAAACGCATAGGCACATGTAGATCTCGCTTATAAGAGTGGCTAGCTAGGGGAGGAGGTGAAGGAGGGAGAGAAGAGAAGAGGAGAGGGTGGGAGTAAATTACAAAAAGGCCAACCTCGAAGGAGGAGCACACCACATAATAATAATAACAACAACTTTAGTGGGGGATGTGTGTGAATTAGGGTTTGAGAAGATGGTTACAGGAAAATGGAAAATGGGAAATGAAAAAGGAAAAGGGGTTGGTTATTTAGAAGATGAGAAAAGTAGGGGGTTAGAAGATGAAGATCCTCTAGAGAGTGGAGGGTGGGGTAGGGATTGGGGAAGAGAGAAAAGAGATGGTGGCGGTGGCTGGCAACGGGTCAAACTCAAAGTGAATGGTGAGAGGGACAGTGTGAGAGGCAGGGGGTTATGAATGTGAAAGCCCGAAAAGGATGTGTTATGTGTTATGTGTTTATGTGCCATGCCTTGTGTGGATTCAACTGTGCAAACTTTTACCCAGACAAGCCGAATCAATTATTTTACTCATTAATAAATAATAATAATAACCTCATTAAAATCTAAGCTTACAAAGATACAGAAAAAGTGAAAGGGAAATTGACTCAGGTTACAAAACCCAAACCACGTTTTCAAGGGCCATGTACTCACTTTAGTTTTAAACATACATCTTCCTTTCCACAACTATTTAAATCGTGATTTATTATTGCTTTGCATGAGAATTATTCCTTTTTCTAAACTCAATTTTATTCAAAGTTGTTACAAGTGCTTTAATTTAACCCTTATTACATGTCTTATCGGAGAAATAGACACTTCACACACCTATTTATATGCAACTTTTTCAAATAATATTCAATTTTTTTTTTATATTTGTCTTTTTAATCATTTAATATGATTAATTTGATATGCGAGTCGAAAAGAAAATAATGAGTGCAGTGGGTGGCTTATAAACCCATTAAAAGATGATGAAGCTATCTAATGAGATGTGTAGACTTTATTATTGCTGTAGATTGCATTATTTAAAATATTATTCCCTGGATAAATTAAACCTTTAATTTGTAAGTATAATATATTGATTCGTTTATACTTACAAATAGAATATAAATTGAAAAAAAGCATTCATGTAGCAAACTGTTAATTTTATTTAAGGGTAAGAGGGTTAGAATCGACCCGCAAACTCCATCTATTTGTATTTTAAGTTCGGTTGAGTCATCACTTTAAATTTATTTTGACTAATTATCGACTTAATTAGTTTCTAATCCAATCACCCAACCCACGTAAAATGTTAATTATAAAGCAACTCAGTGTTATGTGGAAAACTTATGTGTAATTTTAAACATATGTTACTCTTGTGATTTTAACCACTGAACTTATTTTTTAATTTTATTTATTTATTTCGGAATCAGTAATTCATTGTATTTCTGGTTTTTCTTTTTCTAGAATATATTATTATTTTAATTAGTCGTTCCAATTAAGGCCAAAGTGGGTGAAGTTGTTTAAAAACAGTAACTATAACACAATATATAATCCAACCATATTTCACTAAGTTGAACATTAAATTAAATCAGTACCACTCAAACTCTCCACATAGTTAATAAACGCGATTTTTATGTTATTTTAAAATAAAAAATACACATAGAGTAATGATATTTTACATTCATAACTAACATAATAAAATGTGTATGATATATTAGTTGAACTTTATAATATTTATTTTTAAAATTATAAAAATAATTAGTTAGTTGATATTGTAAAAGCACCTCTGCATTGACCATCGCCATGCATATTGAACTTTGTAAAAATTGTTGTTCAATTTAGAATTGGTGACAAAATTATTTATAAAAATATTCCATTAACAAATCTTTTTAAAATATATAATAATATAAACTGTATACATAAAAGTTTTGTAATCAAAATTTAAATTCAAATTAATTGAAAAGGGGTTTTAATTTCAAGTTTATTTTGAGTCCCAATTTTTCGTTTATATATTAATTAATATCATTAGAATACAACTTTAAAGAGCTATGAAATAATTTAAGCTATATATTAACTGAATGATTGTGTAAATTTTTTGCATATATATATGATCGAGCATGATATATATTGCGTAAAGGCATATGTACGTTGTAAATTATATTTTAGCCTTGAAATAACAGCTTGACCAATACATATTTTATTTTTATAATTTATGAAATAATCATTAAAAAATTTCCAAAATCTTTCTGTTCATTGAAGCTACTAATTAACTTCCCATAATTTAAATTTTTGAGATAATCAATATGCGATTGGTTGCATCATTTTAGGTCTAAACAAAGTTAAATGTTTGATAGGCCCGTCTTATTTATTGCAAAGTAATTGGATGAAAAAAATTAGGTTTTCACATATCTCCAATTTCAGGAACTAAAATGTTATTTTACTCGTTAATCAAGTGATAAGATTATAGTCAAATGTATTAAAATGTATCCTCTAAAAAAAAGAAAGAAAGAATATTAAGACATAGTTGGAGTCACTAGTACTTTGAACATTACGAATTTGTTCCAAGAATATATTGATACTTGAGAGGTTGTGGATCAATTTTTATAGTTTTTTTTTTGTATATTATTGTTTTTGTGGCCCAAGAAAAAACGCAATGTCCATCCATCATTGGTCATTTGGGCTTTCGTGAGGGAGCCCATATCAACATATGAACATCAAAACCATGACGTTGAAATGCTACCTCTTCTTGTGTTCTATTAATGTTTACCCGAACATAAGATTGCGTTGACCCAAAAACGAGGAGACTCAGATTTTCAGTAACACACCCTAAAACGTGGGACCTTTTTAATTGAAAGAATCCTATGAAGGTCCATTATGGTATAAAAGCTTGGAATATAATTCTCAACATGTGATATTTTGAGTATAAGAACATCAATGGCATGTTATTGTTGGAATCAAGATAAAGGTACCAAGCACCACTCAATCATGAATCATGTCGAATGTTTGGTTATTCGTTACTATAATTCACATTCATTCTTAGGGTATGGTTTATCTCAATATACATGAACTAGTTTACACGTCTAATTAAATAGGAAATTTGTTCTTGGATCACATGAGGAGGAATTTTTTTTTTATTATTTTATCTTTACGTAAAAATGCACGTGCGTCTGTGCAATTCTACATCACTTCCAGTTAGGAGACTTGAGTCCCAAGCCTTGCATTGCTTCTTTCTTTCTATACTTCCAAATTTTAGGGTTGAAAGGAATTCTATATAATTTCCTTATAATTGGATGTCTTTTCTGTTAATTAATGTGTAAATAGATATAGTGGTGAAGGTGATATTACCACTACTATAAAATATACTTTCAACGTCGCTGTTTAACGTTGGTTACATCTTAGCCGACGTTGAACATGCTTTCAACGTCGGTTGGTCAACAACCGACGTCGAAAGTCGAATTTTGACACATTCTAAGTCATTTTAGCATGCACGACGTGGAAAAGTAGGCTTTCGACGTCGGTTATGCCCTCACCCGACGTTGAAAACCCTTCTGAACTCATTATGACCGATCAGAATACAAATATGACCGATCAAAATCAAATGTGATCGATCAGATTTTAATTATGAGCGATCAGAATTTTTTCAATCGATTAAAAACACGTTTCAATCGATTAAAATCTCTTAAAGGGTCAGGATGATCGATCAGAATCCAGTTATGACCGATCAGAACTATTTTAATCGATTAAATCTCGTTTCAATCGATAAAAACAGATGAGGCTATCACGACATGAGGCAAAATTTAACGTCGGTTATGTATAACCGACGTTGAATTCCCAAAATCAACGTCGGTTATATGATTTACCCGACGTCGAAAGCGTTATCCACGTCGGATTTTTAATAACCGACGTTGAATGTCCTTTATACCTCTCACCTTTCGCGCTCCCCTTCGTCTGCCTCTTCTTCATCCCACATACTCCCTCCTTCTGCTTCTTCTTCTCTGTGTCTCAGTCCTCACTGCTGCCCCCTCGCCGCCCCCTCGCCGCCCCTTCGCCGCCCAGTTCGCCGGCCCCTCGCTCTGCCTCCTCGCCGCTACTACCTCATTCGCTGTGGTCTGCTGCCCACTCGCCGCCCACTCGCCGCGCTCTGCCCCCTCGCCGCTGCTACCTCCTTCGCCGCCCACTCGCCGCGCTCTCATCAGGTTAGATTAAGTTGCATGGATGATTTACAACATGCATTTAACATAAATATGAATTATTTAGAGCATTTCCTGCGTATGAACATTAGAAAGATGATGGATGATTTTGTATATATGGTTTGATTTGATCTAGGTTCGTTTAGGTTTCGAAGTGGTATATGGAACATTAGGTTTCGTTTAGGTTTAGGTTTAGGTTTAGGTTTAGCTTTAGCTTTCGAAGTGGTATATGGAACATTAGAGCATGTATGGAACATTAGAGCATTGTTAGGCAATGTACACGTTTTTTTTGTATTGTTTTGTTAAACCTTTTCTAATAAACCTTGAATATCTAGGCAAGCCTTCTTATGTAGTTAGATGGATCGAACTTGGGTCAATGCAAGTCGTATGTCAGAAGAGTATGAGAATGGAGTTGACTCCTTTTTGAAATTTGCCGAACAAAATGCTCCCAAAATGAAAGGAAAAATCTACTGCCCATGCGTTAA